ACACATCCTGATGTTAGATGTGAAAACACTGGAAATGCTGTGGAGTTGGAAGGTGCTGGGTCACGGAGGGAACACACAGCCAGAGCTCCAGGGGCCGCCCCCTTCCATGTGGTGCCGGCCCTGGCTTGTAGGAGTTGAGGAAGTTGGAGCTGTTGGATTTGAGCAGATATGGATGCTCACAGCGCTGTGCTTGGTGATGAAGCTGCAGGGTTGAACCTGACCCCAGGAGGAGAGAGTGGAGAAGGGAGCTGTTTGAATATAAAGCTGTAATGGGGTAACCTGGGAACCTTCGCAGAGCTGTGGACAGAAGGCCATGAGAGCACGGGGTCCTGTCCTATTTCGCTTCGCCAAGACTGGTGCAGAGATGAAATGACATTTGAGCAGGGCTCCGAAGCTTGCATACGAGCTCTCCTGACAGTCCAAGGAAGGAAGGAAATGTGCAAAGACATGGAGGAGGAGAAATATGCCCTGCCTTGTGGAAGTAACAAGTAGGCCAGGAAGGTCCAGCTGGACCCTGAAGGGCTGAGCCCCATGCAGGAGAGTGAAGGTCATCTTCTTTAGACAGTGGACTCCGTTTTCTGTCACCGTGGTGAGCTCTTGTTGGTGCAGCCTTGGCGTGCTTTAGTTTCAAGTCCAGCTCACCCACATCCTCCCCGGAGGACCTGCTGTGGGTACAGTGCCCCCTGCTTTCATGTGGCTGGGGTCAGATCCTGGTGGTACTGCTTACTAGCTGCGTGAGGCTGAGCATGGAACTTAATTTTCCTGCCTCTATTTCTTGTCCGTAAAATGGAGTGACATCACACAGGGCTGCGACAGAAGAGAGCCAGCTGTGAAATCCCAAGGCCCGGTCTTCTTTCTTTTTTTTTGGCTGCTCTGGGTCTCCACTGTGGCTCGAGAACTTAGTTGCCCCGAGGCGTGGAGGATCTTAGTTCTCCGGCCAGGGATCGAACCCATATCCCCTACATTGGAAGGTGAACTCCTAACCACTGGACCACCAGGGAAGGTCCCCCTAAGAGCCGGTCTTGAGATCTGGTCTGATGTGGTTTCTTTGGGTTTTTTTTTTTGTGTGTGTGTGGGGAAGAGACGGGAAGGAGGCATTTGGAAGACCCGTTTCTTATCGCGTGTGAACTTTGCCTCATCTGTCTACTGGGGATGGTGTTCAGGGTTTAGGTGAGCATTAGCAGTAGTAACACCACAGACGTGTGTGATGAAGTGTAAGAGGCTGTCTGCATGTTACTGTTACACACGGGGTGAGTGCCACGAAGCCACCACGTAACCTAACTGCTGTAAACAGACTCGACTTGTCTAAGCGGGTTTTGCCCTTCAGTGTTGAGGCCACTGTTCCTTAAGGGCCTGCTCCGTGCCGTCATCCTGTGCGTGTTAGGCTGCCGTCTGTTCATCTCCTTCCTCTGTGAGGCTCATGATTTTTGCATCTTCGTATCTTTGGCCTGCCGTGGTCCCCACTCTGAAGCTGACTGTGGCCTTCTGCTCCAGAGCCCGCCAACATCCATCTCCCTTGGCTTGTGTCTTTTAAGCTCAAGAGAACGGATTGGATTAGTCTGCGGAGGGTGGGTGTTCACCTTGGTCCCACAGGCCGTGGTGTGGGTGGAGAGAGTGCCAACACACGTGGGCTGCCTGGACATTTGGGGAAAGGGCAGAATCGCAGAGAACAGGGGCTTACAGTGTCTCTGGAATAGTCCCGGTGGTTCAAATCCCAGTGCTTTCACATGGATGTGAATTTTTGGAGCAGACAAGAATCACTCAGGACTGACTTTAATAAAGAGATAATCAGCCTAGGAAATGCCATATGGGGTCAAAGTGAAGTGTAACTGTAAAATACAATAATGAACGTTAGCTTTGTTTAGGAGTTCCAAAATATATGATTTGTTTCTTAGCAGTACCACTGAAGTAAGGGTAAAGCTTCTTATGCATAGGACTTTGAAATGGGCAGTCTTCATTTGGAATTTTAAGCTCTAGTTTAGAATCTTAGACTTAAAAGGCACATTACACGTGTTTTAGCTCCACAGTCTCGCCTCACAGGTGAGAAGAAAACTGAGACTTGGGTGAAGGGACACATGCTTATCTCCCAGACACTCAGTGATGGAGCTGTGACGAGGTCCCGAGTCCTCTGGCTCTGAACCCAGGTGCTTTCTTCAGCAGGGACGGGCATCCCAGCCCAGCGCTCTTCCTCTTGCACCTACACAGCCTACTGATTTTAAAAAGAAGAAGAAACCAGGGTCTTCCCTGGAGGTCCAGTGGTTAAGACTCTGTGCTTCCACTGAAGGTGACGTGGGTTCGATTCCTGGTCCGGGAACTAAGATCCCATATGCCTCACTCTGGCCAAAAAGTAAAAAAAAAAAGAAAAAGAGAAACTAAACTAAATAGCAAATGATCTTAGAGGCCATGTTATGCATTTCCACATGTATAAAGTATTATATTAATACAAAAGCCAGCAGGACAAATCCATGGTGATAGAAGTCAGAAAGAAGTTGCCTCTAGGAGGACTGGTGGGTGAGGGGCTGACCAGAAAGCGATAGGAGGGAAATTTGGGGAGTGTGAAATGTTTAGTGTCTTGTTTTAGGTGGGTGGCTACAGGAAGGTGCGTGTGTATGTTTCTGTTTTGTGTGTATGTATGTATATATATACATATTTATTTACATATGTTACACACATTTACATAAGCTCTGCATTTTATTATGTGTAATTCGTATTGAGATTAAAATGATATGACAAGGATACCCTTAGAAAAGGATAAGGGTGTTCTGGGGATCCAGAGATTCATGGTACCATGCCTGCTTTGCTCTGTCACCTGAGCAGAGCATCTCCACCAGGACTTGGGCCTGTCTCTTTTCAGAGATTTGTTGTGTCTAGAAATCACACATGAGAGGTTCTGCCTGGAGCTGCAGAAGCTGTGAAAGCTCTCTGGGCCATGAGGCCAGCCCACTTCACCTCTAGGCTTGATTCAGTTGCCGCAAGCAGAAATTTAGGCCAGCTCAGTGGGGGAAGGGGGGTGGGGGCGCAGGGGGCGCGCTGGCCAAAGTCAGCTCCCTGTCTGTCCCCTTCACTGCTTTTATGCTGGGTGAACTCGCGTAGCTTAACCCACTGAGCTTCAGTTTTGTCACCTTCAAATGGAGATGTCTTCAAATAATCCTGTTCTGCCTACGTCATAAGGCTGCTGGCAGAACTCAACGAAGTAAGTGATAGCACGTCGAAAGCCATCGCTTCTGCCCTGCGGTGCTCTGACAGCGCTGGTGATATAAACATGCCGTGTGTGTATGTGTTGGCCGTGCTGGGTCTTTGTTCGCTGGCTTTCTCTAGTCGTGGTGAGCAGAGCCTACTCTTGTTGTGGAGCATGGGTCCTGGGGTTCTCGGGTGTGTGGGCTTCAGTACTTGCAGCTCTCGGGCTTGGCTGCCCGTGGCATGTGGGATCTGCCTGGGCCAGGGATCAAACATGTGTCCCCTGCATCGGCAGGCAGGTTCTTAACCCCTGGGCCACCAGGGAAGTCCAAGAGCTGTTATTTTTGACAGTTGACTTCTGAAGCAGCCCACCCTGGTCAGGAAATGGTCAGGAAAGCTTCCCTCTGTCTGAGACCTGTGGGTTGGTAGGGTAAGGGACTTGTACATGCCAAGTTGCTTCAGTCGTGTCTGACTCTTTGTGACTCCATGAACTGTAGCCCACCAGGCTCCTTTGTCCATTGGATTCTCCAGGCAGGAATGCTAGAGTGGGTTTCCATGTCCTCCTCCAGGGCATCTTCCCGAACCAGGGCTTGAACTCACGTCTCTTTAAGTCTCCTGCATTGGTAGGTGGGTTCTTTACCATTAGCGTCACCTGGGAAGTCCAAGGGACTTGTACCCTGTCACCAAAGAGGTTTGCACTTATAAGTACTGTGAGAACTGACATCTGTGCTTGGGTTGAAAAAGTGATGGCATCCATGAATATCAGCTTAGCAACAGCTATGCTGCTTGTTCCAGGAGAGGCAGGCAGTATCCATTCGGAGGCAGAAATTGCGGGCGAGTGGTTAAACCAGGAGGATACAGGAAAAAGGTCTTTTTGATGAAGAGCGAGGCCTCTCCTGAAGCTGCGGGCATGGAGTGTAAACACATTGAAATCATCCATCAGTGGGGTGACTTCCCTCCTCAGACCTTGGAGAGAGAATGCTTTAGCTGCTGCCTGGAACGCCACTAAGCTCTCAGTTGCCTAGGAGACTGGTCACATGGGCCCATCTTCCAGACTTGTTCAAAATGATTTAGTTTCCTTTATGTTGTAGGGCAGTGGGGGAGTGGGGTCAGAAGTACTTCCGAAGCCTTGTCCTCCGATAGTGGGGCCTTTGTGGAGGTGTCCTCACCTCCCTCCACTTCTGTTTTGGTGGCCCTTGCCCTGGGCAGTTGGGATGAAAATAGCATTTCCTGTCCCGCTTCTCTTCCCCATTTTCTGAACCCTGTGTCATCCCACACGGGGGAGGCTTGAGGGGGAAGGAGTGGCAACAGTAAGCAGGGAGGAAGCGAGAGAGCTGTGGCCGGGCCCTGCTGACTCTGGGATCTGGGCTGACCACAGAGTTGGCAGGACTCCTTTAACCACCCAGCCAGGAGCAGCCTGTGTCTGTTCTTACTGGTCTTCGGGCATATGTTTCTCCCTCTCAGGGTCCCAGGACAGGGCTTTGCAGTCAATATGCTCATTTACCATGGGGCCTTCCTGGCCCTCCAGATGAAGCGTCACATTGCACATCTTGCTGCTGGCTTATCTGCAGTGGATAGATAGGTTTGTCCCTTTTCTACTAGCCAATCTGATCTAAAGAGACAAAAGGCCCAAGGAAAGGTTGTGGTTGATCTCGGAAAGCTCAAAGCAAGTAGTTCTATATGTTTCTTTGGACACTACCTTCCGATTTTTCAAAATATGTAACAAAACTAAAAACGAAGGCAAACTCAATCTTTCCCATTCTTTCTCACTAGGCAGCTGTGTCTGTGTGTCTATCTTGGAGAGGCAGGCCCTGTTGGGAACGATGCCACCACCATCAGACATCGTCAAAGTGGCTATCGAATGGCCAGGTGCTAATGCGCAGCTCCTCGAAATTGACCAGGTAAGCTCTGGAAGTGAGGAGTCAGGGAGCGCGGGGCAGGAGGCATCTTTCAGGGTAGGGACCACTGGCTTCAGAAGTAGGAGTCAGTCAAGGCCTGTACCCTGCTCTGGAAGGCTGGTCACCACGGCCGGCAAGAGGCTTCCTCTTCGAGAAAAGCTCTCAGAGAAGAAGTCTGTGTTCAGGCGCCAGGCTGACCCTGCCTGGCAGACCCTCTCATCAGGACCCTGGCAGTAGCAGGATGTGGCAGCTGGTGAAGGATCTCTCCCCTCATCCCCACCACCCCCCTCTCTTTCAGAAACGGCCCCTGGCGTCCATCATCAAGGAAGTTTGTGATGGGTAAGTTGAAATTGCCCCCTATTTTAGACAGGCTAAGGACAGAGGAGCACTCCCAGACCCTGAAAGGAATTCTGCCTGAGGACCTGCAGTTAGGCAGATCCCCAGTCTGGGGCTTTTATGGATCATCGTCCCATGACAGAAGGATCGCTGGTGGGGATGTCCCCAAGATCTGCTGTCAGTCTGTAGGAATGCCCCACCTGAGGTCCTGGTGGGGTCTGAGACCCGCGCTGAATTATATGTGCCACTTTTGTGGTGTCAGTCTCTGCAGAAGGCAAAGGAGGTTACTGTTGAATATCTCAACCTAAAGCTTTGTTTCCACCCACTCCGCACGCCGCCCCCCGCCCCCCGCCCCCCATACATCACAGTGACCACCCAATCCCTTCAGCAACTCTACTGAACGTTCTTTACCTGCAGCTTCTAGACAGGCCCCCAGGTATGTATGGCCAAAGAGGCTGTACTGTTTCTCTCTTACATAGGTGGTCGTTGCCAAACCCGGAGTATTACACCCTCCGTTATGCGGACGGCCCCCAGCTCTACATCACCGAGCAGGTCAGTTGCAGGGACTGCTCTCACGTGAGCCGCCTGAGGCGGTGGTGCGGGTGGCCCTCGGGAGCCTCCGCCTCCTGGGGCGAGAGCTGCTGCCTGGGCAGGTCAGGGCACGCCAGCCCTTACTCTCCTCTAGTGGCTGGAGAATGTGGCTTCTGCTTCCTGAGAGGTGCTCGAAAAGCATCTCAGAAATTCGTGGCCAAGAAGCAAGCAGGAGGAGAGAGCCTGACTGAAGAGTGTCAGTTACAACTCCTTTAGAAATGACAGAAAGTTCCTGCTGACCCAGCTTGCTTGCCCAGTTTTATATTTTATCTTAGCTGCTCTTTGTTTCTCTTGCCGCCCAGACTCGCAGCGACATTAAGAACGGGACGATCTTACAGCTGGCTATCTCCCCGGTAGGTATTCTGCTTTCCTCAGGAATTCTTTTATCTGTCAAGCGTACGTGAGTCCCTGCCGTGGGCCAGACTCTGTTCTAGAAAGGAAGACCTGGAGGTGAAAAATGCCCGTCTTCGCTCTCACAGCCTAGTGGGGAGTAAACAGATAGAGTATAAGGCCTCCCTCCGGGGTCTGGAGAGGACGTTGCTCAGGGAGCTGTGAGAACTCAGAAAAGGGCGCACCGGAGCCTGAGGAGTCCCGGGAAGCCCTTCCAGAGGAGGGGACACGTGGCTCCCGTGTTGAAGGGTAAGCAGGAATCAGCTGAAGAAAGAGAAGAAGGAAATGGACTCCAGGCAGAGAGACATGCTTTGTTTAGGAGGGTCCGGAGTGCTGGGTGGCCGAGGGCCAGTAGCGATCAGTCAGAAGCCAGAGGAAAGTTCCTCGGTGGCCTTCATGCAGGTTGGACTTGATCCAGAAGGGGATATGGAGGACACTGAAAGATTTTAAGTGGGAAGCGATATTTTATTTAGATTTGTATTTTGAAAGATGACTTTAATGACAGTATGGAAGATGGTGGAAGGCATCTTCAAGAAGCCGGTGAGCAGTGTTAACAGCCCATGAAGGCAGTGGCTGTGGAGATGAAAGGGTGGGCGGGGAAAAGTGGAGGTGAGCTTGGCGAAGAAGCTGGAAGGAGCGAGACAGTCCACGCTGGCCCCCTGATTTCTGCCAGGGCAGCCCTGCCAGGTAGCTGAGGAGGCATCCAGAAGGTGGGAAGGAAGCAGGAGCTTGAAATGGCTTAGGAGCTGAGGGCAGGGGCAGCGTCAGGATGGAGGGCGGCGTGGTCCGCGGTGAGCAGAAGGAAGGGAAACTGAGGACAGAAGAGCCGTCTGATGATCTGGGAGACCGGTTCGCGGCCGCTGGCAGCCAGGTGGCAGTATGTCAACTTTCCAAGGTGAGGACCTTGAATTCACCGCATTATCAGGAAGCTGGGTTTAAGAGGAAGTAGATACAGAAGGTACCAGCTCCGGGATACAGAGTTGAAAAGATACACTTCTTAAAAAGAGGTGAAACATTTGTGTATTTTAAAATCAAAAAGGTTTGATAGAGAGCCAGCAAAAGATCTCCCTCCCACTCTCGTCTCCTCTGCCTAGCTCCCCGCCTCCTCCGACCTGTCAGGGTTGTTCCCTTCTCTGGCGGTTTTTCTGTGTCCTTGAGAATGTTTTCAGATGGAAGAGATGGAGGTTGCCAGTGCGGGAAAGAGGGGGCGAGCGACTGGGCAGGCGGGACCTTGGTGCCCACGGGACAGGAGGGGCCCATCGCCCAGCGAGGGGCTCGCCCTGACTGCTCGGCCGGAGCGGGACCGGTGACACGGGGGTGGCCTCGGCGCATCTGCAGCTTCTGTTGCAGCTTCTCATGTGTCCTGTTACGGACACTTAATGGAGGGTGTTGCCAGCCGCTGTTCCCTTGGTAACATGAGAAATTGCTCTGTCCGCACCATACCAGCAGCTGCTTTTTGCTGAATGCCTGGGTTTAGCTGAATCCTTTCACATATGGCATCATGAGATGAGTACTCTCGATAGCCCCATTTTTCAGACCAGGAAACTGAGACTCCCATTCAACAAGTCGCCGGTTGTCGACAGTCAGGACAGGTCAGAGCCGCCTTTCAGACCCAGGTCCGGGAGCCTCGGGGCCAGTGTTCGCGGCACCTCTGCCTCCCGCTTCCCTCTCTCCTCAGCTGTCCTTGTCCTAAGGACTCCATCTCTGTCCCCAGATGCTCTGCCAGTTTAATGTGACAGCCTGGGAGCTGTGTCCTTCACAGAAGTGCCCAAGTGTTTTCCGGGCCCCTGCGCAGAGCAGGTGACTTTCCCTAGAGCAGGGTGCTGTGGGAGGTGGCCGCCCAGAAACACCGTCTCAGGAGGAAAGTGAACATTTGGAGTTGGGAGGTTCTAAGTGTGATGCGGGCCAATGCTCTTGGAATCGTTCTGTCCTGTGGCCCTTTCTCCGGCCCTCACGTTCTCCGCCGAGGCGGTAACAGGATGTCTGTGTCCTCGAGGCATGTGCGGTTGGAAAGGCGAGACACGGGCAGCCTGACTCCTTGACAGCGGAGAACGGGAGCTCCTGTCACTTACTTTAGCACTGTAAAGAAAAATTAAAACCCCAGGAGCGGGTTTGCTCTCCAGACTCTTCCATTCCAACCGAGACCATGAAATTAACCCACAAAAAATAGAGTGATGAACCAGTAAGCTGTGAGGCTCTGGCTGTAAGGTTAAGAAGTTCAGCAGCAGGAAGGACCCGTGAACATGAGAGGAGGGGTCGCAGCCGCGTTTGCAGGAAGGAGACAGGTGCTCCAAGAGGGGAAGGGTCATCTGCTCGGGGGAGGCTCTGGCTCCTGCCATCCTTTTCTAAAAGCTGTCTCGAAATTAGCTGCTGCTTGGTATTCTTAAAGTTTCTCCAGGGCTAGCACTTTGAGGAACAACAACATGGACTTTTGAAAGAAAGTAAAAAAATATATATGTATCGGGCTTACCAGTTTCAGATTGAAAAAGAGACCTTAGAGGTCATCAGATTGAATTCTCCACCCAATGCAGGAATCCCTCCCATAGCACTTTTGACAGATGTCATCCAGATTTTCCTTGATTGCTTCCAGTGACCAAGCCCAGTACTTCAAGAGACAGCCTCTTCCACTGTCTGATGGCTTTAGTTAATAGAGAACTCTTACAGGTACCAAATGGGGAAACGGGGTGGGGGGTAAATCAGGAGTTGGGATTAGCAGGCACAAACTACCATATATAAAATAGGTTAACAAGGTCCTACTGCATAGCAGAGGGAACTAGATTCAGTATCCTATAATAAACCATGATGGAAAAGAATACAAAAAAGAACGTATGTATGGAAAACATGTAACAGTTCAGTGTACACTAGAAACTAACAACGTTCTAAATCAACTGAAAGTCAGTTTAAAAAAAGAAAAACTCTCCAATATTGATTGAACCATTATCTGTTGATTCATTGGAAAAAACCCTGATGCTGGAAAAGACTGAAGGCAAAAGGATAAGGGGATGGCAGAGGGTGAGATGGTTTGATAGCATCACTGGCTCAACGGACATGAATTTGAGTAAATTCCAAGAGATAGTAGAGGACAAGGAAGCCTGCGTGCTGCAGTTCATGGGGTCGCAGAGTTGGACATGACTTAGCAACTTAACAACAGCATTAGTCTGTCTCTTTGTGACTTGCCGTAGGTAGTGGATTGTCATCCCTCAGATCTCTTATATTCTCTCTGTGGGACTCTTTTTAATACATAGACCAGAGTGATACAGAGGCTACAGATCTGTCTTGACCTACTGGTGATTCCCTGATGGATCCAGTAAACATTTATTTCTCAAATATTAAGCAGTGAGAAAACGCTTTCTGCCTCGGGCTTGAGAGTCCACAGGGGCCCCTGTGAGCTATTCCCAGAGCAGCGACCCGCCACGGGGAGCAGATGTCCTGTATCTTCTGCTTGGTCCCGTAGTCCCGGGCCGCACGCCAGCTGATGGAGAGGACCCAGTCCTCCAGCATGGAGACCCGGCTGGACGCCATGAAGGAGCTGGCCAAGCTCTCTGCCGACGTGACCTTCGCCACCGAGTTCATCAACATGGACGGCATCGTTGTACTGACGCGGCTCGTGGAAAGCGGAACCAAGCTCTTGTCCCAGTGAGTGTTTCCAGGGTCTCCACAGGGGCTCTCAGAGATCTGCGACACTTCTCAGGGCATCCCAGTCTCTTTTCCATTGAGTCAGATGCACTTACTGAGCTCCACCTGCATACGGAGCAGCGTGCCAAGCACTGAGGTCCACACAGAGGGGCATAACTTGTTGTGGCCCTAACTCTCCTAGTCTAGTTGGGCTCTCACAAATTCAGAGACGGGGCAAAGCAGCTCTGTGTTAAGTGAGAAGTAAAACTCAGGGCTGAGGATGTTGGAAAGAGAGAGGTCAGCTCGCAGCTGCAATCATTTCTGGAAAGTAGATGTGACGTGATGGAGGTTAGTGAGCGGGCTGTCTGTTATCAACTAGAATAGATACTGTCTGTCTATTCTTAACCACATCCCACCTCCCTCCCTCTCCAGTCACCTCCCCTGCCCCCCATACACAAGCTCCTGATACACAGACATGTGTGGCCCTCCTCTGTAATAGCTCTCCCTCACCCCTTCATTGTCTCCCTGTCACCCGTTTTCACAGTGGGTGGGGTTTGACGGGGCATCCAGAACTTTGTGATGCACCGGAAATGTCTTTGTGCTACTCGAGTGCCAAGGGGAACGTGGTGGGAAAGTGCCCTGTTGATATCAGCAGTGAATAAACATGTTTAGTTTGTCTTCTAAGCCCATGGAACCTAAGCCAGCAGAGAGGGAGTCAGAAATCTTCTCTCAGTTGATGGATCAGCTGCTGAAGTTTCTAAGCCAAACTGAGCTACTCATGTTGGGTATTTGTTTTAAGCCGTGGGTTCACCGGCTGCACGGAAATCCTGAAGCCTGTGGCTGCTGTCAGCACTGACCCGGGGGTTCCCAGTCTCCCAGGAGTGCAGGGTTAGACTGGCCGTGGTTCCCTCCTCTTTAAAATGGAGGTGATACCCAGCTGGCTGCCCTGTCCTGAGGAGGATCGTGGGTGAGATGGGTTAGAACGTGCTTTGTAAATGGAAACATGGTCTGTAAATCATAGAGCACTGGCGTGCCACAGTCCGTGGTGTCACAGAGTTGGACACGACTGAAGCGACTGAGCCCGCACACGCACGTACGGGTGTGTAACGGATACAGTGTATACAGAGCAGAAAAGGGGGAGAAACCATTTAAATCCTTCCTGTCCGTCAGCACTCTGGTCAGGTTTCTCATGCCTCATCATCCTGTCCTCACCGCAACCCCGTGAGGTTAACACTGCGAGAGGAACTCCATTTTGCAGAGAGAGAAATAGAAGTCTGAAAAGATAAGATTTGCACAGCTAGTAAGTAGTTGGACAAGAGCTGAAACCATGGGCCAAAGTTCACCTTCTTCCTCCTACGTTCTGCGGCCTCCTGGCCTAAAGGCGGACCTGGGACGCAAGCTCCCTTGGGTACCCCCACCAGGTGTTGTGGTTTGAGGAGGGTTTGGTGGACGGGAGATGGCTGAGGGGCAGTTTCCCTGAGATGAGGAAGCCTGGTCGCCCAGCCGCCTTCCCCTCTGTGATACTAGAGGCCTGGTGAAGAATCCGCTCCCCGCCTGGTGTAGGCGTCAGCCAGGCGCCGGGCCCCGTGGCGTCCGCGGATTTCTCGCATGGCGCTTCCGCTGAAACCCGTGCCTGCTGTAGCGCCCTTCTCACCTGTGTTCCCTGGTGCTGAACCTCCGTATCGTTTTGTGTGTGTTTTGCACATGTCTCAGCTACAGTGAGATGCTGGCATTCACCCTGACTGCCTTCTTAGAGCTCATGGACCATGGCATTGTCTCCTGGGACATGGTTTCCATCACCTTTATTAAGCAGGTGAGGCTTCCAAACTTCCGTCTCTGCTCCGTCACCAGGTGTTCGCTAGGCTCAAGGGGAGATGCAGGCAACACGGCTGCTCCAGGGAGGGTCGGCCTTGTAGCCCCAAGGCCAGGTTTTTCATCCGCAGGCTCTGGCCTTCCTGTGTTATACTCACAGGGCCCGCGCTGAGAAGGTGGGACTGGGCTCCCAGAACCCAGTGTGGCCAAAGTGGGATTGGATTGTCCGTGAGACCTGCGGTAGCACCAGCCAGCCCGCCAGCCCCATCCCTAAGTCTCTTGACTGCTTCCTGAGCCCTCCCTCCTCTTGGGATTAAAAAAAAAAAAACATTCATTTCATTTGCCTTATATCCTCTTACATTTACTAGTGTGCCTTCTGTTTACGAATCTGCAGGCGAGCCTGTTTGTCAGATGAACTCAGTGTGGAGAGGAGAGACTTCTAGTTTTTTCCCTCTTCTAGAAGAAGAGGCAGTGTCACCTCCAAAAACTGAACTGAAAACCAATAAATGCTATCTCAGCTGATCTAGATTGCACCTGTCATTGGCTTGGGACCTTGAGAACTTCCTGATGCTGGAGACACTTAGGCACAAGGGCAGTGACCGTGTGTCAAGGATATTCTCCATGCCACTGTGCAGAGACTAGATTACGAGACTCAGGTCCTTTCCGTGTCTCCGAGTCTGCGTGTACAGGGACAAGTGTACGTCAGGGGAACCGCACGTGGCGAGCACACGAGGTCCCAGCAACAGGAAGAGCCTCTGCTCCTCACCCTCAGCCCTTCCAGGCCCAAACCCTTGTTTTTAAAAACAGGGGATTAAGCCCTTTGGTTTAAGGAAACACAGTTGAGTGGATACTGTCATTTGAAATTGAGTTATGCATTATCCATGCCCAGGGACTCCCTGGCACCCTGGCCAACACAGCAGACACCACTGTCGCCTGGGGGCAGCTGTCCAGAAGCGGGCAGCACACCTAAGCGGGGAGAGTCCTGGGCGGGGGGCGGGCACCCGAAACCTAAGCCTTCAGCCCTCGCGGGCTTCCTGACCGCCTCGCCCTCTCTGGCTCTAGATCGCGGGGTACGTGAGCCAGCCCATGGTGGACGTGTCCATCCTGCAGAGGTCCCTGGCCATCCTGGAGAGCATGGTCTTGAACAGCCAGAGCCTGTACCAGAAGGTCGCGGAGGAGATCACCGTGGGGCAGCTCATCTCGCACCTGCAGGTGTAAGTGCCACCCCGCCCGGCCCGGCCTCCCCTGCCCTCCGCCCTACTCCTGCCGCAGTTGTGTTTCCAGATGCTGGTCCGCTTGTCACTCGTCACCTCTTCCCTTCTACTCACTGCCGGAACTCCTCCCATAATTCAGACCTGGTCATGCCACGCTCCCGCCTGAAACCCTCTGTAACTCTCTTCACCTCTTAGGATAGCATGAAACTGTTCCCAATCCATCCGTGTATCACCATGGTGCCAGACAGAATTAGACGCTTTCTCCTCTATGAGCCCAGTAGTCCTTGTTTGTACCTATGACAATCATATGAAATACTGTATTTTTTATTGTCTCGCATTTTAAACGTTGAGTTGGGAACAGGGACCAGTTTTGTATCCCTTATTTTAAGTAGAAGGTCTGTTAGTATTTGTTGAATGAACCCTTGCTGAACTAGCAGCATGTGGTCGAGGGTAGCAGGAACTATCTTGCAGAGCGTGAGTTCTAATTCAGGCTCTACTGCAGACGAGGTCTCAGCGCTCACAAGCTGCCTCCTCTCTTCTGGCTTCAGTTTCCACGCCTCTACACTGGGGTTAATCCTTCCCACCTCTCAGGCTTGTGAGGATCAAAGGAGAGAAGAGGTCTAGTGCAGGGACCCACACGGGATAGGTATTCATTCAGGAGAGGGTTTTTTGTTGTTGGTCTTTGTTTTTTTAAGAAGTTTATCCCATCCTAAGATAATTGATAGATAGTAAACAGAAGCTAAAGACAGATGAACCCTTTGGAGCCTGTTCTCCCTTCCCCATTCTTTTTTCTTCCCTTTTCAGCCATTCCACGCAATTTAAGGGGCCTGGACTCTCCAAAACCAAGGATGGTGATAGTGCTGACACCTTCCTACCTCCTGCCCCCTTCCAGCGTGTGGGTGGTTGACTGAATATGCTGCCGGTTCCCGGGGAAGCCAGAATTCCCCGACTCGGTTGTTTTTAGCAGCCTTTTCTTCACTCAGCTGTGCTCTCAGCCCAAACCTTCCCACGAGCCGAAGTGAAGAAAAGCACCAGGAAATCTGCAGCTCTGACTCCTTCCTCCTTGGCATTTCTCTGGGGGATTCTTCAGCCTGTTTTCATGCCCCCAAAGCCACGAAGGTTGATTGAAGTGAGGGGACATGATCAACCCCAGATGGAGAGTTCTGATTTCCTGACCTCAGAGTTACCTCTGTTTCTTTGTTTCTGAATTGGAATGACCCAGGCACGTCCTTAGGGAGGCGAGAGGAGCTAGGCGTTTCTTAGGGGTCAGTCTGCGAATATTTTCAACCCATTGCTGTCCCCAGAAGTCATGTCCACTGCTGCTTGGCTGAGGGACCCCTAGTGCCCTCAATCAGACTTCCAAGATGCCTCCGCCCGACCTGGGAGCCCCGCAGCCCCTCTGGAGAGAGCCCCAGAATGCAGCCGTGACACAGCAGGTGGAGAGTTCTCATCAATTGCTGGGAGTATGAGATTCCAGAGAAAAGTGGTAGTTACTGTTTATTTACAGTTGAAGAAGACTTCGTAAAAACAGAGAAGCACAATAAAGAAATCATTTGCCCATTATCCCACCTCTGGACATAACCACTGTTAACATTGTTTTGTTTTGTTTTTTTGCCACCGCACCCCTGAGGCATGTGAGAGCTTAGTTCCCTGACCAGGGATCAGACCCACGCCCCCTGCATTGGCAGTGCAGTCTTAACCACTGGACTGTCAGGGACGTCCCTAACATTAAATTGACTGTCTCACTGGTCTTTTTTTTTTTTTTCCTTCTATGAATACTTGTGAAAAAGTTGGAATCTTACTATACATACTTTGTGTATACTTTGACTTTTTTTTTTTTAAACAGAGTAATAGCTCTTGAACATTTCCCATGTCAAACAACCTTCTAAAAGGGTAGTTCTTTTTTTTTTTTTGCATTCCAGATGCCTTTGAAAATCCAGTAATGGTTATGAACTCCCACCTCCATGGAAGAAGTGTCACATAGTCAAGCGGATAAATGGAATAATGGCTATACAGTTTCTAGGGTGTATAGATACCCTAAGCCCATCCCTAACCGCAAATGAAGAACCTTTGTGCTAAAACAATGACTGCTTAGGATTTTAATGAACATGGACAGAGTTGCTCCTGTGGACATTTGCGCTATTTACTGTTCTTCTTTTTCGTAGTGCTTTGACAAAACGCTTTGCCAGTAACTCACACACAGTTCTCTGATGGCTGTGTTTGGATAAATTCCTCCTGGTTGAATTGCTGGGTCAGGGGCTCTGCCCCGTTTTAAGGCTTTTGATCCTCGGCCTCTGATTATTGTATGACAGTCTGCGAGTGATCGCTGTAAACCATTTCTTGCTGGTCAATCTTCTAATCTCCCTCTGCCTTCTCTCTCCGTTGACACAGCTCCAACCAGGAGATTCAGACCTACGCCATTGCACTGATTAACGCACTTTTTCTGAAGGCCCCTGAGGACAAGCGACAGGTCTGTGGCAGCCTTTTTAAGCTTTCCATCTGGGCTTTTCCAAGAGAAGACCTCACCCAGCCAGTCAGGGACTCTTGGGAGAGTCCTTCATCCTGTCCCTCTGTAGCAAGAGCCCATCACAGTGGCTTTGCTAATAAAGAAGACCCTGGGAAGGCCAAGGCGGGGAGACCAGTCGGGTCCTAGGTCAGGGCAGGGACCTGCAGACTTTTTCCCCTCAAGGCCGAATAAGTATTTTTTTCTTTGGTGGGCCTTACGGTCTACGTGGCAGCTCTTCAGCCTTCCTGCTATAGCCAAAGGCAGCCTCAGACAGTAGACAGCAGGTGGGTGTGGTGACTGTCTTTGCATAAGACCTTGACATCTTATTTGGCCTTGGCGTGGCTACCCCTGGGTTAGAGGATCAAGAAGCAGGGAGAGGAGACCCCCTAGGCAGCCCTGCCGGGTCCTAGGAGACAGAAACAGATGCCATCCTTGCTGAAGGAAGCAACAGCGGAGACACGTGGCTCGAAGTTTCATGTATAAAGATCCTCTCATCCGGGTTGTAAACTTTTCCCTATTAGTTAGCTATATGACATGATGCAAATTGCTCTACTTCTCTGAGCCCCAGTGTCCTCACCTATAACATGGGAGCAGCGTCTGCCCCATTCATTCATAAGGATGTCACGAGAAAACACAGAGCCCTGCTTTCCCAGGGAGGAAACTAGGGATGAGCAGACCAGTGGAGCCAACACTGGCCTCAGAGGCCAGAGCCCAAGGCCAAGTTTTTCTCACCACTGCCAGGCAAGTGCTCTGACCCCTCTGGGTCTCCACTTCTCTTTCTGTAAAATGCAAGGGCCAGGTTAAAGGATCTGTAAGTGCCCTTCCAACACTACCATTCTAGATTTCTCTGGTCAAAGCCCAAGAGAGATACATAAGAAAAGCTGTGTAATTCTCGGTCAACGCCCTGGGCTCAGTAAGTTGTAATTCCCGTGGGATCATGTACCGAGTTCTTGGAAGGTTCGGGTGGGAGGACCTGGAGCATCTGTGGTTCTGTCTGTCCTTGTCTTGGATGGCTTGCTCTGTTCATCTCTTCCTCCCTAGTCCTGTTGTGAATGTAAGCCGAAAGCTCATTCTTCCATCTGCTTCTCTCTGTGCTTTTTGCTTTCTGCCGGCAGGACAAGCACCTTAATCCTCTAGACCTGCCTGTCACTGTAAGTAGCACTGCCGTGTGGAAAGGGGCCCGCTGTCTTCCAGGTGGGGAGGTCAAAGCCAGGCGAAAATCTCCTGATCTGATCAGGCTGTTCAGGGAGCTCCAAGACACAGGAAAAGGTTGTGTGCTGAAAATCTCATTTGTCAGGACACTGAGGGAAGCACCGAGGATCAGAGTCACTGCAAGGATTAGGGGGCTGCCTGCCCTGGGGAACAGGCCCAGTCTGTGCTTTGTAACCTGCCTCCACGTGGGTCTGTGGTTCAGCTGAAGAAGATCAGATTCAGAAATATCTTGTGACGTTCATCCAGATGATGCCAGATGCATTGCCTTCCTGCTTGCTGCGGCAGTAAAGGGAGCCGTGTGCCCTTCTGGATGCTTACTGGACCGCAGGGATGGAGAAGTGTTAGACAGCTCTCAGAGGGAGTTCAGATGCTTGCTTCTTGGTTAGAGGGAGCTCAGAGAGGTCAGCTCTACAAGGATATGAAAGAGTGAGTGCTTTCTCCCGCCTTCCCCTGCCAGCACCGCAGAGAAGTCTTTGGTTGAAGGCCTTTATGCTCCACTAGCAGACCACTGGCAGTTACCCACTCTGTGAGTTGTCAACAGCAAGGTTTAAGCTCCATAACCAGGCTTCCATAGCTACTGAAGAAGTTTCTAGTCCACCTTCTTCCTCTGCCAGCCATTGTGTGCTCGGGGGACTCAAAGTAAAACTTGATGTTCCTGGCAGCGTCAGCCGTCCAGAGTGCGGCCAGAAATCTAGAAGCGAGAGAGAGGCCTTCCAGCTCAGAAAGATGATTATCTGTGGAATTAAATGAAGGCAGCTTAGAAATGAAGTCATACGAATTAACATTATAAGAAGTGATGGCTGACACTGGAAGGAAGAGACAGAAGAATTATGAAAAGCTGTCCAAAAAATTAAAAGCATAGTAATCTAGACGCATTTTGTTTAGGGGAAAATAGCTTCATATTTCAGAAGCCCCTTAACAGTGTCACAACACAGAATAATAACTGATGTGGGTTTTACTGATGGAACCAAATCCTTGGTAGTGATTAAATTAGAATCGTTATAGTCTCTTCAGAAATAAAGAAGTGTATATATTTTGAGAAGATTAGCACAAGAATGGTCAAAGTAATGGTTCTGAGAGGACCCTTAAGGCTTCATTCCCTGGAAGATTCACTTAAGACACTGTATTTCCTGACTGTGCTAAATAGTTACTGTCAAAATCTGAACCCAACATAATAAAAAAGGTGACCCTGTTGTGAAAAATTACCCCAAAGCACACAACAGATTGTTCTCTAAAACCAGCCAGAAGTGAGTCATGGACCACTTACTGTTTCAGAGCATCCCGCCCGAGTTCCTGCTGGCGTGGTGCTGGGGGCTGGGGGGATGCTGGGGCCAAGGCCTTTCCCTGGTTTGGAGTCAGCGTTTTACCAGAGCCCGTTGCAGCCTTGGCAGTGATTCCAGCCGGGGACCGTGCATGTGGCCTGGGAACCATCACGCCGCTCTGTGCCCTGTGCTCATTGTCCGTCGCCCAGCGTCCTTGTAACGTCTCGTCCTAAAGCAGTCTTTGTCCCTCTCTGAAGATGACTCAGTTGATTGTGCCATTGAGAAAGGAAGCCCTGTTTGCCTTCATTTGTACTCTGAAAAGAAAATGTGTAGGAATTTTTCAGAGTATAAAATACATAGTTGAAGGTCTGTGAATTTTTACCCCATGTGCCCACTTTTCATTTGAAAAGAAGAAAAAAATCAAGGGAAAAAACCTAAGAGCTGTGACATCCCTTCCTTTGGATTGTTGTCACAACTGCATGCCTGCCACCGGCTCATGTTTGCCTCTTCTTCTCAACAGGACATGGCCAACGCATTTGCACAGAAGCACCTTCGGTCCATAATCCTCAATGTAAGTTCCCAGACAAGCTGTATTTTGTTACTGTTACTGTTTTGTTACAGTTAACTGCAACTATTATTGTTTTTTAAAAAGTTATTTATTTATTTTTGGCTGTGCTGGGCCTTTGCAGCGGGGGCTTGTGGCAAGCGGGGACTTCTCTCTAGCGGCGGTGCACAGGTGCGTCCTTGCAGTGGCTTCCCTAGGCGTGGACCACCGGCTCTAGGGTGTGTGGGCTTCAGTAGCTGCAGCACGTGAGCTCAGTAGTTGTGGCTCCCTGGGTCTAGAGCACAGGCCCGATAGCTGTTCCGCAGCACATGGGATCCTCCCAGATCAGGGACCGAACCTGTGTCTCCTGCATTGGCAGGTGGATTCTTTACTACCAAGCCACCAGGGAAGCCCCTACGATTCTTATAGTTGTACTATTATTAGTGAAATTACTATGGAGCAAGGTGGGCACTCAGGAAACTTACTGGTAGGTACTTAACCCTTCCTCAGTTGGAAAGCTGTGTTTTGTGATCCTGTAATCAGGGTTGTCTTGAGGAGGCTGGCCCACCGGGAACTGCAGAGCCTCCAGAGGTCCTTAGCCAGCTAATACTGGCTGGCTGTTTGTTGCCAACTGTTTTGCCCCACAACTCCAAAAAAAGTTTATCCAGAAGGACTGTGTTAAAATAGACACAGAAAGAGCAGTTCATTCAACTGACACTAGTCATAACCCCGAGTTGTGTGGGGCCCTGGGAGGGATGCCTGGCCTGTGGGTTCCAAGGGAGGACCCGGCAGTCCCGCCGTGAAGGAGGGGTGTAGGAGGCTGTAGGTGAGGCTGGGGATACACAAGCAGTCCAATCAGAAGAGGAATTCCTGCGGGGGAAGGGGGACGCCCAGGAGGAGTGAGTGGTTCTGTGAAGGGTGGAGCAAGGATTTGTGATTGGCTGTGTGCTGTGCTTAGTCGCTCAGTCGTGTCCAACTCTGCGACCCAACAGACTGTAGCTTTCCAGGCTTCTCTGTCCACGGGATTCTCCAGGCAAGAACACTGGAGTGGGTTGCCATGCCCTCCTCCAGCGGATCTTCCTGACCCAGGGATCAAACCCAGGTCTTCCGCATTGCAGGCAGATTATTTACCATCTGAGCCACCAGGGAAGCCCATGACCAGCTGGTGAGGTAGCAAAGAGGACCTTAGTTTTTGTTTTTGTTTTTTTTCAAAAAGCAATTGAGGGTAAATAACCCGGCTGCCTTTTAGAAAGATCACACTTCAAGGACTGTGTTTTCTGAGGGGCAGCGGTGGGGAGAGAGCTGAGGTGGGCAGTGAGGGCAGAGGAAGAGAGCCAAGGAGCTTGGTTAAAAGGAGGCCATTGTATCGGTTGTCAAAAACAAGGCAAAACTGGGAGACTTCAGTGAAGGAAACAAAATGAGAAATCAAAGAGTCAAGTGTGAAGCCTTCAGAATTCTGAACATGAACTTTGGAGTTGGCTGCCACTCCCCCACCCCCCCATTAACCGGTCCTTGATCTTGAGCAATCTGCTCACCTTCTGTGGGCTTCGATCTGCTCACCCGGACGTGGGGACCGAATGAGCTGATGTACACTGTACTCAGGACTTAGCGGGAGGCCTGGCGCTCCGTGAGCGCTCTGCTCACAGGGGCAGTTCCTTCACCGTGAACGAGACGCGGGGGGGGGGGGGGGGGCACGATTCAAGACGTCCCCGTGGGCGCCTGAGAAGTGGGTCAGCTGCTGTGAACAGGCAGAGCCAGACGCCACCCCGCAGAACCAGCCCCCGCCTTGGGGCTGTCTCCCCGCTCAGAGCCCCCCTGCCAGGGCGGCAGGATGGACAGGAGCAGACGCTGCTGACCCCACCTGCCGCACCGGGGCCCGTCCACGTGCCCGGGCAGCTGTCAGGCGCCATCCTCTGCATGTGTGGGAGTGGGTGCCCTCCCGAGAGAATTTGAATGAATTCCGGGGCTCGTCCTTTACATCAGTGGGTTTAGAATTTCAGCTTGTTCCTGGACAAACCTGGCGAACAAGCAAGGCTTCCGTCCACTAGAGAAGACAGTTTGGCGTCAGGACTCGGGACCCAAACGTTCCGCTCAGAAAAGGTTAATGCGCGCTCACCTCCGTCTGGATTTAGCGGAGTCGAGTCAGAGAGCGGAGGCCTCGTGCTTGACAGTCGAATGAAACTCCATCAGACTGGAGCTGTCCCTCCTTAAGCCTCTGAGGGCTGGAATCACCACCCTCCCCCCGCTCCGACGTCTCAGTGTGAGGAAGGGGGATTATAGTGAATGAAAACCAGGCTGTCTTCAGAGTGGCTTTATGAAATGGAGCGAGGCGAGGAGGGAGGAACAGGGGCAGACAGGTAGGGAGAAACCAGGGTGGCAGCAGGACCCGGAGAAAGAAAGAGACTCGGGCGGAAGCGGAAGGGCCCGAAGCGGCCAAGGCGGAGGAGAGGGACTGGTGGGGGCAGACCGTGAAAAGGAGGCTGGAGAGACAGACGGACACCCAGACCCACGGTGGAGGCGGCCGAAGAGGGCTGGGGTGGGAGAGGAGGGCGGAGCATGCGCACCGCGGGCCGGGCAGGGGCAGCGCAGAGCCCGCCACGGGCGGCCATGGGGCACTCGAGATGCGCCCGGTGCGCCTGGAGAACTGGACTTGTCGTTCTGGACAGTTTCAGTTTAATTTCAGTACCCACCTGTGACTTGTGGATCCTGTGATGGGCCTTGCAGTCCAGGGAAAGGAAGAGAAAGGAAGAGCTCTGGAGTCGCAGGTGGGGAGAGGAAGCCTAGGGCAGTGCGGGCCAGTGGGAATATGATGCGAGCTGCTGGTTTCATCATCAGTGTTCTAGTAGCAGCATCAAAAGAGGGAGGAAAATTAATTTTTTTTAATAGCATAGTACATAGGGAAAATTAATTTTGATAGCATACTACATTTAACCCAGTATGTCTGAAACCCTGTGATATCACCATGTAATCAATAGAAAAATGATTAAGATATTTTACTTTTTTTTTTTCACGCCAAGACCCTGATATCCAGTGTGCAGTTTACATTCGCAGCACATCTTGGTCTGGCCCTGCCACATTTCCAGTGTTCAGCAGACACGGGTGGCCAGTGGCTACCAGATTGGGCTGCACAGATCTGAAGAGAGTGTGCAAGCTCTGGAGAAGGACTGATCTCGAGTGAGGGAACGCTAGAGTACTTTAGACACAGCAGGACTTTCTGCAAATGGACATGTTCCACACCAGCTCTGTCGCTGGACGGTAGCCACCAGCCGCAGGTGCCTCCTGAGCTGAACGTGAGGCTAGTGCCTCAGCTTAAAGTGAGGCCTCGTAACTTGAGTTAATTCTAACTGACGGAGAGGCACGTGGCCACATACGACAGGGTCTTGCATGCTGGCCAGCACAGCTCTCGAGACGAGCTGGACGGAGGAAGAGAACTCGAAAGGGACAGGCGGTGGTACGTGTGGGGAACCAGGCAGGAGTTTCATTTGATAAGAAGACCAAGAGCGCCGGGGCCTAAGGACGGCGGGTGAGATGGAGGGAGCACGGCGTGCAGGGAGAACGTGGGAAAGGGCAGGAGGCTGCCGTGGCAGGGAGGCGGGGTGGGCCGGCGTGATCAGCCCGGAGGACAGCGGGGCGAGTAGGGCAGGGCAGAGATGCAGCGTGGGCGGCGGAGGAGGCCTGAGCAGCTGGGGCGAGCGGGTGTCGGGAGGACGCGGTGAGCTTGGGGCAGGGGGGGATAGTCAGGGAGAGAAGAGGGACTGGGATGGGGGCACAGGGAGGGGGCCGTACCCAGAGTGAGCAGGGGGAAGGGGAGACAGAAGGGGTGAGTGGGGGCCCTACAGGGAGCATTAGATGCCCCCCACCTTGGTGTACATGTCTCAAGACGACTGAAAGAAAAGGATCTTTTTAAAACCTCTCTCCTCGATGAGGCCATCCTGAACATTTTCCTGAGAAAAGCGTGCCATCCAGTTCTGCCAATGACTCTTGAGACACACTCTCTGTTGGGATCAACTGGAATGAGGCCCAGCCACCCACCTACCACATCATAACCTTACCCTTTGTCCTACTTCCCTGCCCAGGGCCGGGCAGAAAAAAAAGATGGTGCCCTTGGGGCTTGCAGTGCATCAGCCCTGCCCGAGTCAGGCCCGTTCATATCCCCCGCTTCTGGAGCGTGCAGGCTCTCTGAGGGGGAGGAAACCCTGTCCCCTGCCCATGCTCTGTCTTTTTCACCAGCATGGATGCAACCCTCCAGCAGAAATCACTTCAACTCTCTGCCCTTGTTCTTTCCAGCATGTGATCCGAGGGAACCGCCCAATCAAAACCGAGATGGCCCATCAGCTGTATGTCCTGCAAGTCCTGACCTTTAACCTTCTGGAAGAGAGGATGATGACCAAGATGGACCCCAATGACCAGGTAGGCTGCCAGTGGGACCGGGCTCTCCCAGCTGGCATTGTGTGCCTTGTGACCTGGTGCCCTCCGCCCTGTGTTTGGAGCACCTGCTTTGGGCTAGGAACTGTGCTTCGTTGTGTCTGCAGAAACGGTTTTGTCAGCTCTGTACCTCACCGTGATCCCTTTCTGCTGGTGATCCTGGGCCAAGCCCATCTGTGTCCTTCTGTGTGATGCCTCCTCAGGGATTGATCGGGGCCAGGGTTCTGCCCGCGAAAGCTCAACCCACTCTTTTCCTTGCTTCCTTTGATCAGCTGACTCATCTGCTGACAGTCTGTTTCACCTCCCAGGCTCAAAGAGACATTATATTTGAACTGAGGAGGATTGCATTTGATGCAGAGTCTGACCCCAGCAATGCCCCCGGGAGTGGGACTGAGAAACGCAAAGCCATGTACACCAAGGACTACAAAATGCTGGGGTTCACCGTAAGTTTCCCAGAGTACTAACACTGTAGACCTTCTCCCCTGACAGGGAGTGAGAGGCGCCCCCCCCAGACAGAACCCTGACAGCCCTCCCTCATAACATCTCGTAACGTCAGGGGAGCCCCGGAACCGGAGACGCTGAGAAGCTGGGGGGCCCTCAGCACTTGGTCCACTTTGGCCGTGGCAGGTTCACAAGTTTATGTGCAACATTTGGCCCCTTGAAACAAACCCATCTGTAGGAGGGCCCAGGAAGTGGGCCAGATGAGTGGAGAGGGGACCGCTCATCAACGCAGCTGGTTCCATGAAAAGCTGGAGTGTGTATTGTGATAGGAGACAGCTTGAGGATGGAGTTAATTAAATACTTACTGGGCATCTACTCAGCAGCCAGCAGTATTGTAGGCCCTGGGGATGCCAGACAAGTCAGCCTCAGCCCAGTGGCCAGGAGCCCAAGCCCTCGTAGTAGAGATGGTGCGTGACAGGGCTTCAGCAGGGGCAGGTGTAGTGCAGGGGCGGTTGGACGTCCCCCCGAGTGAGCCCCCACAAGGGGAGACCGTCGGGCCTTGAGTCAGACGTCTTTCTTTACCCAGAACCACATCAACCCCGCGATGGACTTCACCCAGACTCCGCCCGGGATGCTGGCCTTGGACAACATGCTGTACTTGGCGAAATTCCACCAGGACACCTACATCCGGGTAAAGGCTGGGGCCAGCTGCCCCCCACGGACGCCCCGTCGCCTGCCTCCCCTCTCCCTCCCTCACGCCCTCTCCTCCCCTGTAGATCGTCCTGGAGAACAGTAGCCGAGAAGACAAGCACGAGTGCCCCTTTGGCCGCAGTGCGATCGAGCTCACCAAGATGCTGTGTGAGATCCTGCAGGTCGGGGAACTGCGTAAGTGCGCGGCTCCCCGCACGCCCATTCCTTGGGCTCGGGAGCCCGGTGAGACCCGAAGGTGCAGCGTTAGGCGTCCGTGCACCTGGACAGCCTTCTTGGGCTTTATTTTTTTTTAATCACTGAGTGAGCTGTAACCCGTCTACCCTTGTTTATCACGGGAGTCGTGGCTGTGGCTTGTTTGAGCTGGTGATTTGAGAACGTTTGGCAGCTTCGCCACCACCCACTTACCCTCCCAGTCCTGAATCTGATTCTGTTCCTCCGGACTGCAGAAGGAGCCCAGGCTTCTGGACACGGGCCCCCAGCATCATCCTTTGCCCGCTTCTCCTTCCACAGCAAACGAGGGACGCAACGACTACCACCCGATGTTCTTCACCCACGACCGCGCGTTCGAGGAGCTCTTTGGCATCTGCATCCAGCTGCTGAACAAGACCTGGAAGGAGATGAGGGCGACAGCCGAGGACTTCAACAAGGTCAGGGTCGCAGAGCTCCGAGGCCTGGGCAAGGCCACCCCAGGGGAGCCTGGGGCAGCTGGCCCAAGCCTGGCCCCCTCTGAGCTGGAAGACGGCGTGGTTGGCAGCACTGAGTCACAGGACAGAGGTGTTGAGAGTGTCAGTGGCCCCAGGACCCTGAGCAGGGGTCTCCCCGCTGGACCGCTGTTCCGCCTGGTGGACCAGTACCAGCCCCTCCCGCCTTCCTTTGGGGACAGGAGGGAAGCTGGCAGGGACAGCAGGGGTGACAGAGCACACAGGCTGTGCAGGCACCGCGGCAGTGTTAGAGTCCGAGCGACCAGTGTGAGTTCACGTCAGGGCTACTTAGCAGTAGGAGCCACTCCTCGATGCTTTCTGAGTACCTGCCTCTCTGATGGCACTGCCAGGCCCTCAAAAGCTCATCATCTAGGAGTTGGCTCTTTTGAAGCTGCTCACCTCACTGTAAAAACTGTAAAATATAAAGAAGGGGAACATCTAACTCCCCTGCCCAGTGACCACGACCCTGATGATGTTTCCCTCTAGTATTTTTTTTTTTTCTGTGTATTTTTCCTTCATTGGTAGGGAGCTGATGGGACGTGCAGATGGTGTCCTGCTTTCTACTGTAGCTGTTATTCTAAGGGAACTAACAGGTATTTTGTACTCACACCAATGGGCCAGGCATGGTGCATCCAGAGACTGGGGATCTCCTATTCCTCGTGGCGGCCTCCATCGAAGATGTGTCTTCCTTTCTCTCACTTTAAAGACCAGTAGGTGGGTCCTGAGGATGTTGAGTGAGTTGCTCGAGGAACAGATTAAGGTGCACAGCCAAGCCTTAAACCCCTGTCTCTCTGGTCCAGCCACCTCCTCTCATTCTCCCCCACCGTTGACCTGTTGAGAGGTACCAGAAATGAAGCGTTTGTCAGCATCGCGGTCCTCCGTAACCGTCTAAGGCAGTGTGCCTTGAGAGCCAGTGTTCTTCCTCCCCCAGCAGATGCCCGTGGTGCCTGCTCTGCCCAGGACCCAGAGGACAGAGCCCGGGGTCCGTTTCCTGGGGCTGTGCTGAGGCTGCGCCTCCTCCTCTCTCAGGTCATGCAGGTGGTCCGAGAGCAGATCACTCGAGCTTTGCCCTCCAAACCCAACTCTCTGGACCAGTTCAAGAGCAAACTGCGGAGCCTGAGCTATTCCGAGATCCTGCGGCTGCGCCAGTCGGAGAGGATGAGTCAGGATGACTTCCAGTCTCCGCCGATTGTGTAAGTGCCCGGCCGGGGGCGGTGTGGGGGTGCTGCCAGCACCTTCCCTTCCCCACCCCCCCACACCCCCAGTCCCCGTGACCTTCCCTGATTCAGGTGCTCGTCCACCCCAGGGAGCTGAGGGAGAAGATCCAGCCCGAGATCCTGGAGCTGATCAAGCAGCAGCGGCTGAACCGGCTCTGTGAGGGGAGCAGCTTCCGGAAGATTGGGAACCGCCGGAGGCAAGGTGACCTGAGGGCGCGTTCCTGGGTGTCTGTCCCTCCCGCCTGACGCCGCCGCTCGCGGGCCTGCAGCGTCCCTGGGGGGAGCGGGCAGGGAGTGAGTCCTCTCTTGGCCCCTCGTGTGCCGGCCTTTCCTAGAACTGTCCTCGTTCACCTGCCTGGCTTCCCGTGTGTTCCAGAGCGCTTCTGGTACTGCCGCCTGGCCCTGAACCACAAAGTCCTGCACTACGGGGACTTGGATGACAGCCCTCAAGGGGAGGTGACGTTTGAGTCCCTGCAGGAGAAGAGTAAGTTCAGGTCCCCGTGGGCTGTCGTGCAGCCGGACTCCTCTCAGCAGATCTGAGCTCTGCTTTTGGCTGCTGCAAACTGGTTATCTGGCCTCAGGCCCGTTATTTCATCTGAACCTGTTTCCCAGGTGGTCAGTGGTTATCTCTATCTGGCTGACATCAAGGAGCTGTTTGGAGATTCAGTAAGATCACAGATAGGAATGGGTTTTGCAGATTGGAAAGGATGATGCAATACTGAGTTGAAAGGCAGTGGTTAAGAGCAGCTCTGAAGCCTGACTGCCTGGATTCAGATCCTGGCTTTGCTGCTAATTCTAATTAATTACAAGTTACTTCTCCTCTCTGCCTTAGATTCTTCTATAAAACGGGAATAATAGCCACATTGCCCCCTTCAGAGGATTGAATGAGTCCTATCTGTAAAGCACTTAGAACAGTGGCTGGCAGGGAGGAAGAGTAATCATTAGTTGCCGGTTGCTATGGCCAACGTTGTCATCCTTATTACTGTGAAGTGGAAGTGAGCTGTCTGAGGCCCCGTTCCTTCAGGAGACCATGCAGAGGTCCGGCACTGACCCCAGCAGGCCAGGGTCCAGGCCAAGGGGCCACAGAGGAGGGAGTGACGTAGGCCGCCCTCCCTGAGCTCACAGCCCTGTGGGGCTGGGGGCTAGGGCGTCCCTTTCAGCACTAGATTGGATGCAGGGACCAACCTACAGCATAAAGCTTCCGGAAACTAATTCTCTTCGTTTTTCAGTTCCTGTTGCAGACATTAAGGCCATTGTCACTGGGAAGGATTGTCCCCACATGAAAGAGAAAAGTGCTCTAAAACAGAACAAGGTGAGTGGAGAAGCGGCTCTGAGTCTGAGCTGCTGTCCCAGTGATCCTGGGCATAGTCGGTGGTGGCTGCTTTCTGGATGCATGGCCTCCCATTCTCTCTCTTTAAACTGACCCTGAATGTTTTATTAAGAACAATCTGAACAGACACCAAAATAGAAAGAACCCTCATATAGGCCTTGCCCAGCCTCATCCACCATGGCAATGTCCACGTCCACTTGTCCCTCTTCACTTATTACTTTGAAGAAAATCTCAAGTGTTATTTCATTTTACCTGTAAACATTTAGATTGTATTTCTGAATTATAAGGACTCTGTTTAACATAATCACAATACTGTTTTCACATCTAAAAGGAGATAAAAAGTTGTTATTTAGAATCAAATATTCCACTGATACTTGATTTTTCCACTAACTGTCTTAAAAAATCCCACTTTCTCCACATAAAAATACATAAATGTTTATAAGCATTTGCACGCACATACACACACACTCAAACCCAGTTTGTCTGCCGAATCAGGATCCAGATAGGGTCTACACATTGTGGTGGGGCTTCCCTGGTGGCTCAGCGGTAAAGAATCTTCCTGCAGTGCAGGCGATGCAGAAGACGTGGGTTTGATCCCTGGATCGGGAAGATCCCCTGGAGGAGCAAATGGCAACAAAGTCCAATATTCTTACCTGGAAAATTCCATGGACAGAGGAGCCTGGTGGGCTACCATCCACTGGGTCACAAAGAATAAGACATGACCGAGTGTGCGAGAGACACAGACACACATTGTGATTAGTCTTTAAGGTTTTTTTTAATTCTTAAAAAAAATGTTTTTAATTTAAAGAATTTTATTTTTTATTATTTATTGGTGGGATCTTAGTTCCCTGACCAGGGATTGAACCCAGGCCCTCAGCAGTGAAAACACAAGAGTCCTGACCACTGGACTGCCAGAGAATTCCCTCTTAATTTCTTAATTCATAAGTTCCCCCTCCATCTTTTTCTCCCTCTCTCTTTGCAGTTCATTAGTTGAGGAAACCAGGTTGCTTGTTTGGTAGTTTTCCAGAGTCTAAAATCTGCTGATTGTCTCCCCATGGTGTAGTTGAGTCTGTTCCTCTGTCCCAGATCTGTAATTGGTAGCGAGACCTTGAGGCTTGATTCAGTCCAGGCCTGACCTTTTTTATTGTGGCCAGACTCCTTCCTAGATGGTATCATATTCTATCAAGAGGCACATTATGTCTCTCTCTTTGTGATGTTAGCAGACTCTGGACGCTCAGTGCCTTGTTTCATTAGTACATTAAGGTTTGCAAACTAGTGATATTCCAGTGCAGTCATCCCTTTTCATGTATTAACTGAACTGCTTCTCTAAAGAGAAACTTGCCGTCATTGACTGGTTTCCCAGTGGTACAGTTTATATAAGAAGGGAGGCTAAACGCTTGATTCTTCCCTTTTAAGTACCTACTTTTAAAACAAGGAGTTAGGTCTCTGGTATCGTCCAACAGTGACTTATTTTGTGCATGTGTTTTGTTTTTTAGTATTATTATAAACTCATGGATTTAAGCCTGTTATATTTCTTTCATTACAGTTGTGTTGTTGATGCTCAAGTTGTTCCATCTGTGGCCACAATTTGTTTTTGTTGTGGTGGGTTTTTTTTTAAACTGTTAAGACTTTCCGTTTAATTACCCATATATATATATATATATATATATATTTGAGATAATACACAGTCATGGACTCTGACATTCAAAGGTTCAGAGTATTGAGAAATGAGTTCTCTATAACCTTAAAAGTGTCATCACATCCCAGGCATGACTTGGGTGGGGAGTGGGTAAGTGAAGGTTGATGACTGCTGGCCTCATCTCCGGCCCCACTTGTGCACGAGCCCGAGGACCATAATGCCGTCACATGTGAATAGGCACATTTGGTGATGGTGCCAAATTGCTAGGACTCTGGCCAAGATCTCAGTGTGTAGAGCTCAGGCCATTACATTGCTCCAGATAACTGGAACCCTTTCTCCTTTAGGAGGTGCTGGAATTGGCTTTCTCCATTCTGTACGACCCTGATGAGACCTTAAACTTCATTGCACCTAATAAGTACGAGGTGAGCGATGTGGCCCTGTCTTGGACAGCCGAGCCTTCTCTGTGACTCTGCAGCTGGAGGGGAGGAGTGGGCAGAACAGGCACGTCTTCCTAAAGGCAGGGGCCTCCAGAGTGTCTTGAAGACTGTGACACCAAAGATCTGCCATGCCGGGGGTTCTTCCAGCAGCAGTAGGTTGTGTTTAGAAGGACAAGGTCCACTAGGGGTAACTTATTTGCCTGGAACTAGGAAAAGTCTCCTTTTTGCAGTTTCTGCATGGCCACCCACCCAAGAGAACCTGACCAGTCCTCCCTCCTTGTGTTTCTGGGGCACATGTTGTAGTGCATCTGACCTGGGCTTTGAAGCCAGGTGGATCTTGCGCTCCTGACACAGGGCCTGCAGTTTCATCTGTAGCACCAGAAGATGCTAGATATTAAAGAGCAACTGTGGTTAACAGCATACGTGTCTGGTGAGCTCTGGGAGCCACTGGAGGGAACTGGAAATGGGGCTTCTGGAAGAGGAGACCCTAAGGCAGGGGGCCTGAGCTGCCAGTGGAGTTTATTGGGAAGAAATGAAGAACTTGCAGGTGGGAGACAGGTGAGCAAAGGTATGAAAAAGATGGAACAAGAGGAATTAGGGAGGAATGGGTTGAGAATTCTCTGTTGTTCCCTCTTATCCTGAAACCCTCAAGTTCAGCTTTTCTAGTACTTATTTTTAACATTTACTGACTTTTTTTTAAATTGACTTTTCTTGGAAAAAAGTTGATTTTTACAGGGATTCCTTTCCTGCCTTTTTCACCAGATATGTCTTTCCTTCCCACTATTCCAGATTTGGGGGCGATCTCAGGTAGCTGATGTCCCTGTTCTTAGATCCCATTTTGCTGTTTTCCTTAATAGTATTTTTTTTTTAATCACACTTCATATTATCTTAGGGAGTTTAAATGTAAATCCCTTATAAAAATCAAAAGGTCTTTTGAGCAAGCGACCTCCCAGCAAGCACCTCCCAGCAAGCATCTCCCAGCTTACCTTCGCCATTATCTCGGATCCGTCCTGCCTGTCCTGCAGGGGGCCCAGAGAGACTCTCTGAGCCCTCTCAGCAACGGGACCGCAGCAGGCCCTCCGCTGACCAGGGGCCCCCGGGTGACATTTGCAACTTGCTTCCCACAGTACTGCATCTGGATCGATGGCCTCAGTGCCCTCCTGGGGAAGGACATGTCCAGCGAGCTGACCAAGAGTGACCTGGACACCTTGCTGAGCATGGAGATGAAGCTGCGGCTGCTGGACCTGGAGAACATCCAGATCCCCGAGGCCCCGCCGCCGGTGCCCAAGGAGCCCAGCAGCTACGACTTCGTCTACCACTACGGCTGAGCCTGGGGCCGGAGCAGACAGTTCCCCGCGAGGGACTTGGGGCCCAGGAGGAGCACTCGCAGTCTGGTGCCTTGTCTTTGCTTGTACAGAATCCGTAGTGACCGTGGGGGCCAGTCAGCGCCAGTCACACCTCAGACTCACCTCGGGCCACCCTGAGCCTCCTCTCGGTCCCCATCCACTCTGAGTCGTGAAGGCGGGGTGCTCTGCCCTCGCCATCACCGTGGAGCCTGGGGACGGGCCATGAGGGACGGACAGCAGACACCCTTGCCTTCCAGGCCAAGAAACTGCTCCTGGAGCCAGAGTCAACCACAGCCACTCACCTTTTCTCCCTGAGCCTGCTCACCGGTCGCCTGGATCCCCCAAGGGGGCAAGAGCTGGCCCAGGAAAGGCTGTCCGCAGAGGACAGACAAGTTGGGTGGTTTGAGAGCCTCAAGGGACCCAGGCCTGTGTCTCAGATCTAAGTGGAAGCCTCGGCCTTTGCTCAGTAGATGCCTTGCCCTTGCTTTTGCAGTCTTCGTGAGGGCTCACCTGGCCTTGCCCAGGGCCAACGTGCTGCTGCTGCTGCTGCTCTGATGTCTCTGTTCTCCAGGGCCACCAGGTCCTCTTGCCCACGCATTTGCCTGGGCAGAGGGACATGTCTCCGTGCAAGCTCACAGTCTCTCATCCTGGCAAGTCAGAGACACGCAGACTGAGTCCCACCCTCTTAGCCTCGAGGCAGAGCCGAGAGGAGACCTGGGCCTAGACTGTGGTGCGGTCACTAGAGTCCACTTCTCTGCCCTCCACATTTATATCATGTCCTTGCTTGGGGATAAAACTCCCACCTAACCTGAACAGCCGCCCTTCCAGTTTGCACTCCTTCGGCCTTCCTGGCCTCGGGAGGTTTGCCTCCCCTGCCCTCCTCCCCCAGCGCTGTGGTCTCTGCCATTGGCCATGATTTCAGGGAGCCGGCTGGGGCCCGCAGAGGCCCCCGCTGTGCCCATGAGGCTTCCCTGGTGCTGCAGCACTCATAAACCACACGCGCGGGCACCGAGGCTTTCAGTATTGGTAGCCTAGTATGGTGGGGACTGCCCAGTGAAGAGTGTACTGTATATTTTCTTTACTATAGGCCATACTTCTACAGACATGTATATATATTTATATAAGATCTACCTATCCTAGGGTGGAATGTTGGAGGGAAAATAAAATGGGAGGCCAAAAAAAAAAACACAGACCAAAAGTAAACACTTGCAGTTGCAAGCCAAGATTGTAACCTGAGAGTGGCCAGGAGCTTCCTGTCAGTAACCATGTTTTCAATAAATACTCTTTCATGTACACACCAGTTCCCACTAACAGCTGTTTCTCTGTACTGGCTCCCTGCCCCGGGGAGCTTTCACCTTGACAAGTCTTCATTTCATTGTGCCTGGGAGACGCTGGAGAGCTCCAGCTGGAGTCCTCAGCCACCTTCCTAGAGCCGCCGCCGCCTCCTCTTCAGCCACTGTGCCCCACCACACGCGGGACTTCACACACACACACAGACCTGCCTGCTGGCTAAGGACGCTCACAGGCTCTCCCGCCGGGACAAAGTGCTTTCTGCTCAGGCCTGCCAGGTACAGCCCTGAGGACATGGCCTCCCTCCTCCCCCTGCCAGGGACACGGCCAGGAAACAGCTCGATACTTGTGCCTTACAAGGAAGACATGTTCTTCACTCTGTGTGCTGCCGGTGCTTGGTGCCCAGCCTGCCAGCTGGTGTTCCATACTGTCCTCCAAACCTCAGCCTCGGTGGCCTGGAGGCTTGACTGAGGGCCGTGATGAAATAGATACTTCATCTTGCTTCTGTGGAAGAAGTGAGTGAGGACAAGTGCTTTCAAAAGGCTCAGAAAGTGTATGCAGCCTTGACTGAATAAAGCCAAGAGCCTCGGTGCCATTGTAGGTGTTGGTGTAAGTGCTGAATGAACGAATGCCTGGTGATGCCAGCTGGCGGGGGCAGGGCAGCAGTGATTTGCATAAAGAACTGCTTACACTCTGGCCTTGAGCCTTCTGTTCAGAGAGGCCAGGGAGCCGAGCTGGGTCACTTGCAAGGACTCCTGTTTGCAGCCAGCCTGTGAGCCATCCAGGAGTGGCTGGAGAGGGAGAGCAAAAAGTTCCAAACTGAACCCCACTATGTACCCTAGCCAGTTCTGGCCTCCAAATGGTTCTCTCTCTCAGCATGGTCTTAATGCTTTCCCTGAATTCTGAAAAGTGGGTAAGATCTCAACTCCCCAGTTGGCGTTTTGGGGCCTACCACAACCTGCCTTTTGCCTACTTTTCTAACGCATGGTTTTTGTCAACTTCGTGTAAACAAGTGTGCTCCTAGCCAGACTCCAGCCTTCTCCTCGCCGCCTTCTTTCTCCTGCCTGGGATGTTCTCCACTTACTCAACTTCCTGAAGTTGAGACCATGCTCATAAAAGTTTCAGGCACTCAAAATGTTTCACCAATGTTTACTATTTATTCCCTCCCACGGATCTTCTAAGTCCTGAAACCTGATGCCTCCGACATCACTCCCTAGCTGGCTTGAGCTTCCATAGGAAAAAGCCCAGGAGAGACCCGTGTTTCCATGGTTGCCCAGCACTGGGTTGGAATAAGGTAAATGCTTAAATTTGTAAGTAGGTGACCTTTTCCTGGCTGCCAGTGGTGCGCAGGGCTCTTGCAGCAGGCACCTTGGTTGACCAGGACCTTGGTTGATCACAGGAAACACAGCCAAGGGTGATGCTCAGGCCGGGCTCCTGGGGAGCCAAGGCGCGCAGCACGCGGTTTCACAGACCTCACGGGGGGGACCAGTCCCCGCCCCCGGCCCCGGCCCCGACACGCTCCGCCCCTGACCCGGCCCCGCCCCCAGCGGCTTCCGGCAGAAGCGCCCCCCAGTGGCGGCGGTCGGCCTCGCACTTCCGGCAGGAGGATCCGGGCCTGCAGCGCCGGCTGGGCGAGGTGAGTGGGCGCGCGGCGGGCCTTCCGCGCGCTCCCGGGGTTGGAGGGAGACCCGGGCGGGGCTGCGAGCGGGGTCCAGGCTCGGCGCCGCGCGCCGCGGCCGCGGGTCCCGCCGGGGCCCTCCTCCTCTCGGGCCTCGGTATCGCGGTCGTGGAGGGGCCCGGGCTCCGCGCTCGCTCCCCGCTGCGTGACCCAGGCGGGCATCACGCAGACCGGGCCCTGCACTTGGAGAGGCCGCATCCCGCCGTGGGGTGGGAGTCGGGGGTGGGTGGTAAACACGTGGACAAACAAGGAAACGTCAGGTAGTGGGAGGTGCCACCAGGATTAGACGCCCCCCTCCTCACACCCCTACCCCGTCCCAGGCCCCAAGATGTTCAGCCGAGCAAAGATCTGCGGCCGCAAATACAAAGGACACAGGCCTGATGTGTTGGACGAGTGGCCAGGGGCCGGCGTGGCGGGTTGGGGGTGGGGAGGGGAAGATGAGGTTGCAGAAGCGGGCAGAGGATGGGAGGCCTTCCCCTCGGGTCTGCTGAGGAGTTGGGATTAACCCTGTGAGGGCCTGGTCTGCTTTCTATGCTCAGGCCACCTCTGCGGCTGGATGGCGGCCTCCAGGCTGTAGGAGGAATTGGAAGCAGGGACACCAGTGAGGAGCCTCGTTAACTTTCGAAAAGGTGCTCCCTGTGGGCTGGGGTCCTCATGGGGACTTCCCAAAGGTGGCGGGCCTGGGCTGGCTCCTTGAAAGAGAGGCAGGATTTGAACAGTGAAGGGATCGTTTGCATGGCAGTGTTGGGCTGAAACCACTCCAGAAGCAAGAAGATGCAGGAAGTCGATTCCCAGCAGGGTGCAGATGGCCCTGGTGTGGTGGTGATGGGGGCGGGGGGCGTGCGAACCATGGAGAGGGAATGCCTAGTGCCAGCAGGCCCGGTTGCCTGTGGGACTTAGCAGTCAGTCTCAAGGGGGAGTGGTTTTGCCCCCCCACGCCCACCCCTGCCACGTTAACAGTTGGCAACATCTGGAGACATTTTTGGTCATCCCAACTTGCGGGGAAGAGATGCTTCAGACCCCTAGTGCACAACCACCAGGGATGCAGCTAAACATCCTTCCGTGCACAGACAGGGCTTCTCCCAGCAAAGAATTCTCTGGCCCCAAATAGCACTAATGCCACAGTTGGGAAGCCTTGGCATAGAGGAAGGAGTGTGGGCCTGGAGTTCTGTCAGAGGTGGGTTTGGTGCCCGCATGCTCCACTCTCTGGTCATGTGAAGGAGTCTGACGCGGGGAGCACAGGTTTCCAGAATTTCCCGAAGAGAACCACAGCCTCGGGTGTCCTTCGGGCCAGGCCTTGAGCCAGCTCCCACAAGGGGGAGGGGACATGGTAAGCCAGGTTCCAGAGTACAGAACTGAGTGCTTTCCTTTCAGAAAGGACTGGGGCTTGGGGAGGTAAGATAGATAGGAAGGCTTCCAGAAGGAGGTGGTATTTCAGCGGGGAGGAGCATGGGGAAGGAGAGACACATGGATGGGGCCGCAGGTGGGTCACACTGGACCCGGCTCCGCCTGGTATCCCCCCCACCCCAGCCTACCTGCTCTGGATGCTCATTAGGCTTGGCTGGATTGATAAGGAGGCAGGGCTTGGTTTCACTGGTTTTCTTTGGCTGAGACTTGAAGGCAGGCACCGCCTTTTTGGAAGTGGTTGTTAGAGGCTAAGGCACAGGAGGCATTAGTTTTCTGGTTCATTTTCAATGCCTCCAAGACTAGATCATCCCCTGAAAATCACGTGCCCTCTCTCATCGAACCACATAGGGAGCACAGGGTGCCAGGTGGCCATAAGCTGTCGTGAACACCACGCCTCCTGTGTGCCTGGGGCACACAGCCGGCTCTCAGGCCTGGCACACAAGTGATGACGGAGGAGTAGGGGAGCAGCCGAGTCTCGGGGGGCTCGTGGGGGCAGCGCTCCCCCGGGAAGGGCCATCCGAGCTGATGATCAGTAGGACCCGCGGAGGAAGGAGCGCAGGGTGTGCAGAGCGTTTGGCTCCCTGGGGCAGCAGGGAAGAGCCCTGCGTGGCCGGGGAGAGGAAGGCCCTGGGTGAGACAGGGCACCCAGAGCCCCGCCACGGGGCAGGCCTCCTTGGCCAGGGAGGGTCGCGGTCTCTGTGAGAGCCCCGGCAGCTGCTCTGACATGATCACATTTGCATTTTTAAAAGGTCACTTTGGTGCAAATTCATGGAAAAGAGCTCGGGGTGACAGGAGAGTGGAGGTGACAGGTTGCGGGGAGTCCCGCGGCCCGGTCAACCCCTGCTCCCTGCAGGCCAGGGCTGGGATGGCTGCGTTGGGTCACCCAGCCCCTGCCCCCGCCAACGGGTGTGACCCTTTTCCTCTTTCTAGTCTCAGCCCTGGGGTCCGGCGAGCCGCATCTGCCATTGATCATGGAGAGGGTCGGCCTGGGCCACCAGCCCCGAAGGTGAGGACAAGAGGACGGCACCTGGGGCTCCGTGGAGGATTGCAGATCATGGAAACGGCTGCCAGGAGGCGTGCTTGCTGAAAGTCGCCGGCCCAGCCCTGACCGGCCCTTCCCGAGGGGCTTCTTCCCGAGAGGTGGTTGCCGCCCCCACCGGCCAGCGTCCGCGGATGGGGAGGTGCGCCCCCGACGTGGCCTTCGTGTGGAGGGCGCTGCTGACCCTGGGGCTGGTGCTGCTCTACTACTGCTTCTCCATCGGCATCACCTTCTACAACAAGTGGCTGACCAAGGTGCGCGGGGGCCACGGCGCCCCCTGATATTTAGCAGCAGGGAGGCACGGGCTTCAGCCAGCCAGCCAGCCTGGGAGCCAGTCCACACCCTTGGTGGGACAGGGCCTCGCCGGGGAGTCCCCTGAAATACCGGGACGGAGGGGCATCAGGAAAGGGGGAGACTGGGGAGTGAGCTGGGCAAACTTGGGTGTCAGATGGCCCCTCAAACACTGCAGAGCCCCCAGAGGCCCCTGAACCTGCAGCCAGGCCAGCAGGGAGGTTGGGGGCCGGGGGCCAGGGTGGGCGCTCACAGAGGCACCCCGCTCTGTGCTTGGGCTCCCCAGAGCTTCCACTTCCCCCTCTTCATGACGATGCTGCACTTGGCCGTGATCTTCCTGTTCTCCGCCCTGTCCAGGGCCCTGGTTCAGTGCTCCAGCCACAGGGCCCGCGTGGTGCTGAGCTGGCCTGACTACCTCAGAAGAGTGGCTCCCACAGGTGCGCGCCTGCCTGTGGGCCGGAGGGAGGGGGCCGCTCAGAGGGGAAGGAAGGAGGGAAGCTGAGCCTGTCTGGGGTCCCTCCTCCCCTCATCCTCCCCACCCCCGCTGCTGCCTCGTGGGTGGGATGCGGTGGCTCAGCCTTCCCCACCCTTGAACACGTGCATCATGGCCTGGAGACAGTGGTCAGAGGGCGCATCACGGCCGGCCCTGCGCCCGGGCACGGGAGCCCATGGAGCCCAGGGGAGGACGCCAGCTGGGGGCCGCACGTGAAGGCTTCCGGGCACGGGGGGCTGGGGGCTGAGACCTGGGGGGGCGCGGGTCCCCTCAGAGGCGAGGCTCCCCTGTGCCCGGGAGAGGCTTGGTGCGTGGGCAGGTCTGCGAGGGAACTGAAAGTGTCTCCAGAAGCTGAGAACTCGGCTTCGTAGCCGTAGCGGGGAGAGGAAGCGGAACTGAGAAGGCAGCCGGCTCAGATCCTGGAGGACCAAGTCCTGGGGGCGGGGGTGGGGGACAGTGTGGTTCATTCTGAGGGAGGCGGGAGCCAATCTGCAGGGTTTCCAGTAGTGGGTCCTCAGGATCCGATGAACACCCGCTCCCTCATGGTAGGGGCGCGGCCTTCCTAATATCCAACAAGTGGGAAGTTAGACAGTGGACTGTTGGCCTAATGCTGGAGCAGCCCCCTCCCCTTTAGCGGGGTGGGGCCAGGAGTTAACCCTTCAGTTGCTGGGTGGAAAAGACAGCTCCAGGAGGGCTCCTACCAGGGCGGGGTGTCCCACGGATGCCCCGTGTCTCCGCAGCACTGGCCACAGCGCTGGATGTGGGCCTGTCCAATTGGAGCTTCCTCTACATCACCGTCTCGCTGTGAGTCCCGGGCCCCTCTGGCCATCTGTCCAGCAGGCGGGGGTGGGCGGGGGGTGGGGGCTGCACCTCCCTGCCAGGACCCCCCTGCCAGTGGGGAAGGAGGCACGGAGGGCAGAGGGAGCAGCTATCGCTTATCTCAGATTCTGCACTTCAGTGAGCCCCGTGTGACTGCCCCCTCTTTCTCCATTTCTCTCTTCCCTCCTTAGTCCTAATCTCCACTAAACAGCAGGTAAATCACAGGACTCGGGAAGCTCAGTTATTTTTTCCCCTGGTGATAATCAGAGGCCTCCGAGTCAGAGATTCCTTTCGACTAAAGGTCGCTTGTCAACCCAGAAGACTCGGGCTGCCTTCCTTTGGTCTTTTGTATCCCGCGGGGCCTGCAGCCCTCAGGGAGGTCGGGGTCTCCCCTGGCCTCCTCCCACCCCCTGGTGGTGCCGCGTGGGCTCCTTTCCTGGCAGTAAGTCGGCATTGCCGGCTCCAGCAGCGCGTCACAGGGACTTCTGCCCTTGCAGGTACACGATGACCAAGTCCTCAGCCGTCCTCTTCATCCTCATCTTCTCTCTGATCTTCAAGCTGGAGGAGCTGGTGAGGCCCCAGCTTTCCTCGCGTCCCGCCAGCCCCCACCGATGCTAAGAATAGAAAGAAGGAGCTGTGCGGTGGCTTGTCCCTGCCTGTGACCAAGGAGGCAAGCCCAGCTCAGTGGCGCTCCGTCCCTGGGAACAGATCTGGGGCACTGCTGGAGAAGATTTAGGAACCGGTGTGGCAGGAGCAGTGACCACGGGACACGGGGTTCAAGGACACGGGGCTGGGGCAGTGGGTCCTGGGGGCTCCCCGCTGTGCAGCTGGAGCCCTTCGTTTGCTGGGTCCAGGGGGGCGGTGGGACCATGTGGGGCCCTCGGACCGCTGCGGGACAGCACTACTGCCATGAGTCAGGGTCTGGGGTCTGTGCCAGCCGGGTGTCAGCCCTCGTAACCCCGAGGGGAAGGGACCAGCCAGGACCCCAGGGTGGGGCAGGTAGAAGGATGCCTTGCTCCAGGGGCAGCCAAGATGGTCAGTGATCCCCAGACTCCCAAGTGTGATGAACTCGAGACCCGCCTCTCCCCGCCTCTGCTTTCAGCGCGCGGCGCTAGTCTTGGTGGTCCTGCTCATCGCCGGGGGCCTCTTCATGTTCACCTACAAGTCCACGCAGTTCAACATCGAGGGCTTCGCCTTGGTGCTGGGCGCCTCGTTCATCGGCGGCATTCGCTGGACCCTCACGCAGATGCTCCTGCAGAAGGCGGAACTTGGTGAGCCAGGGCCCAGGCCGCCAGACAGGGTGGAAGTGGGCCGGGCCGGGCACGAAGTCTCACTCATGTCACTTGTGTAGGACTCCAGAATCCCATCGACACCATGTTCCACCTGCAGCCACTCATGTTCCTGGGGCTCTTCCCTCTCTTTGCCGTGTTTGAAGGTACGTGGGGTCATCCACCTCGGGGGACCTCGGCACAGACCTCTGGTCTCTGCTCAGAGCCCAGCACTGTGGTCGCTGCGGAGGTTCCAGAGATCAGTGATGGTCGTCCCGACCCTGGCAGTGCCTGGGCTGGGGGCTGGACAGACCCTTAAACCAATGGGGCTAGAATTTCGCAGGATAAATGCTACCGAGAAATCACATGTAAAACACACCAGGCAATATTGATGGTGAATGCACACAGCCCTAAGTTATACCAGGGCTGTTCTGATGGTTCTAAACACATTAATTCCTTTAATACTCCCCTAAAACCCCACGTGCCAGTACTAGGACTGCTTCATCTTGCAGATAAAAGAAACTGCGGCAGAGAGAAGTCAAGATAGCCTTGCCCAAGGTCCCATAGCTCATATGCAAGCCAGCCCCTGGCCCTGGCGTCCCTCTCCTAACCACGATGCCCTCTTTCTCTTAGTTTTGAACACAGAGTCATGAGTGATTCCAGAACGGTGGGGCAGAAAGGCAGGTTGAGCTTCCCAGACAGTGCATTTTTGGAGAATGAATGGGATTTTGACCCCCTGATGGGGGCGGGCACCCCTGGAAGTGGGAACAAGAGCTTCAGACGTGGAGAGGTGTGTGGGATTGGCCTCGGCTGTTTCTCAGGCAGGCAGGCAGCGGGGGAGTGAGGAAGGGGTGGGTGGGCATTTCCTTCCCCCCTTTCCCGCTCCCCTCCCAGGGAAGAGTTAGAAGGATGTGTCTAGCCTAGGGCAGGGTGGTTGGGGGAGGGCCACCATGTTCCTCTCCCTGATGCTTTGGAATTGGTCTTCGTCCCCTGTCTGTTTATCCTTCCTCCCAGAGTCCCTTCTGTTCTCAGGGTCATTACAGAGAATTCTGTCCCACATCCACATAAGTTTCAAGCAGTGAAGCGTCTCAGACCTCTCGGAGAAGATTATTCTGCAGCCCCGTTGTCCAGGACACTTGTGTTCTGCAACCTCCTTTTTTTTTCTTCCCCTTTTAAAATCTCTCTCCATCCCTTCCTTATGCCCCTCACCAAGCACCACACTCTCCCTCCCTTCCCGGGTGTTTACACCATTTCCCCATCTCTGCAAACCCTCACCCGAGAGCCCCTGGTAGTCATCACTTAGCAAAGCTGCATGGATTTAGCTTCTTTAATCTTTTCTGGTAAATTAATCCCCCAAGCGCCTTCATTACTTATGTTGCTCTTCCCCGAATTCCCTTCAATTTGCCAACGCCTTTGCAGTGCTGCTGAGCCTAGCGCCAAACAAGATGTCCTGCGTCGGAAGGCTCTGTGCCCAGGGGGCTCTGATATTCTGCATCTCCTTGGTGTTTCCCTCCAGAACCCTCACAGGGCTCGGCCAGCCTCCTGCTCCCACGAGTGTCCATTTGCCAAGTCTGGGGCTCACCTTCCCACCGGCTTCTACCCTCCAGGAGCCTTTCCTATTCTCTCGGGTGGGCAGTGCTGGAGGGCCAAGGGTCTTCCAAAAGTCTGGGCACAACTTGGTGTGTCGAGGCCTGTGTGGGTGTCTCTGGAACAGGGGCCATGGTTTTGTCGTGTCTTTGAACGTGTGTTTACTTTTTGAGAACTGTTCAGCAAACTATACTGTCCGGTCTAGTCCCTGTCGTTTTGTCAGTGGGGAAACGGTGGTCCAGAAAAGGGTGCATGTCTCGGCCAAACCCCACAGCTCTGTAGTGAAATGGAGGTTTGTGTGGATGGAGTTTTGTCCCTGGACCCACCTGAAGTGGAGGGCCTCCTCCAGTGGCCCCGGGCACTGACAGTCCTCATGTAGCGGGTGCCCCATCTCTCTTTGGCCCATGGGGTCTCACAGCTGCCAAAGCCACAGGAAGTCACCCCCCACCCCCCGCCGCCTCCTCCCCAGAGGCAGGTGGTACATGGGGTGTGAAGGAGCAAGGCGCTCCCACCCGATGCCCCTGCAATACCAGCCCCCAGCCTCCAGAGGCTCAGAAGCCTCCATCACTCCCTGTTAGGATCCCCGGCTTGTATCACCCCCGGGCTCCCTGGCCGCCGGCCCTGCTTCCCGTTTCCCCAAGTCCCCGGCCATCTGCGTGGGATTCTCTGACGCCTCCTGTCCCAGAACTCGGGGCCTCAGACAGGCGACAGGTGCAGGGAGGTTGGGGTGCAGCCGTGGCAAATCGCACCCGACGGCTGGGTGGGGTGAGGCCGCCCAGGCAGGCACACCCAGGACGTGGTGCCCCGCTCTCTCCCCCCGTTGCTTCCAGGTCTCCATTTGTCCACATCTGAGAAAATCTTCCGTTTCCAGGACACAGGGCTGCTCCTGCGGGTGCTCGGGAGCCTCTTCCTTGGCGGGATTCTCGCCTTTGGTTTGGGCTTCTCTGAGTTCCTCCTGGTCTCCAGGACCTCCAGCCTCACTCTCTCCATCGCCGGCATTTTTAAGGTACAGTCTTGGAGGCCACCCCAGTCCTGTCTTAGAGGGGAGTTCCTCTCCGACGTGTGTCCTAGCTCCTGCTTCCCAGAGCCCTGCGGGGAAGAGATGGAAGTGCCTGTCTCACCTGGCAGCCCGTCCATCATCACCACGGCCCGGAGTGGGGGTGGGGGCGGGGGCGGGGGCAGCCCTGCTTCACACACGGGGAAACAGACGTGAAGAGCTGCCCTCACCCAGGGATATACAGCTAGCAGGTGGCTGAGCTGACTCCACTAGGCCTGGGATGTGTTTACATCTTACCAAGAAAGCCAACTCTGGTCATTAGGCAGCAGCTTGGAGTCAGGATTGAGAAGCCCCCAGTCAGACTCATCAGCATAAGGTTCTGTGCTTGGCAGTGATTGATTGACAGTGTCTGCCAGGAGCACAGTGAGGGATGGTTCTTTCACGAAGGCCCTGTGGCTGCTGATCCTGCCTTTACTGCTGTCTAGCAGCCCCTAGCCGTCTCCTTGCATCACTTCTCCCCTTCCTCCCCCCATCATCACTCACTGCTTCCTGCTCGGGGCCGTGGACAGGCAGACCCTGATCCTGGAGCACTGTTCCCTGAAACCAGCCAGACAGGGCTCCCCCAGGGTCTCGCCCACCCAGTGATGACTTGTGAGCCGTGTTTCTCAGGATGAGTCATCTGATCAGTGCCCTTTGCACCCAGTGCTTATGAAGAACCCCGTGACCAGTGTGACTGCACCCCACCCCCACCCCAGCAGCAGAGGCGCTCCGAGCACAGGTGCTTCTGGAAGGGCAGCTGTCCTTCCTGCCTGTGGATGTGGCCGCGGACTCGATACCATTTCCCAGCCTGGATTCGGTCTGCCTCTTCCAGTCCAGACAGAATTCTGTGAAGAGCAGCTCCCCTCTGACCACAGTAACAGAGTAGGGCAGGCCTCAGGCTGGCCCCGAGCTCAGGGAGGCTTCCCCCTTTGTGCTGCAGGGAGTTGGGCAGGTCAGGCTCTTCCCTGCAGTGTGACGGTGCCCCCCAGCCCCACCTTCCTTGCCAAGGAGCTACACACACACACACCCTCCCCGCCCCCCGGCCCTGAGCACGCCCCCTTCCTGCCTCTCTTCCTGCAGGAAGTCTGCACTTTGCTGTTGGCAGCACATCTGCTCGGCGACCAGATCAGCCTCCTGAACTGGCTGGGCTTCGCCCTCTGCCTCTCAGGAATCTCTCTGCACATCGCCCTGAAAGCCCTGCACGCCAGAGGTACCCGGAGCCCCCTTTTGGAGTTCTGTCTTCTGATGACCCTCTCCCCCTGGATTTCCCCTCTACCCATCCCTGCTGGGAGGAGGCAGGTGGCTCTCGACACCCCCTCCCCAACTCCCCCGCCAGGGCATTTGCAGTCTGGTCTGCTCCGTTCAGCTGCCCCACGCCCTGGCCAGTCCTCTGATTTAGGGAGTTTGCCTGGTGATTCGGCCACCGCCACTCTGAGAAGTCACGGGGGTCATCTCCAGGGAGCGGGTGGGGGCCTGGGTCCCTCGGCAGGCTCTCCCTTCAGGCCAGGGCAGACAGACCCTTGCTGGGTATGTGACGTGGCTGTCTCTGTCCCCAGGCGACGGCGCCCCTAAGCCCCTAAAAGGGCTGGGCTCCAACCCCGACCTGGAGCTGCTGCTCCGGAGCAGCCAGCCAGAGGATGAGGACAACGAGGAGGAGGAATACTTCGTGGCCCAGGGGCAGCAGTGAGCAGCCAGGGGACCAGTCGGCGGCTCGGGGACCTGGGTGGTTCCTCCTGGCCGTCAGGCAGCAGCAGGCCCGGCGTCTCCCGGGCCGGGCCTCGGAGGGCACGCGACTGGTGGTGGGGCCGGGGCAGAAAGCTGGTGCGCTGGGTCGGCACCAGGCCAGCCTCGGGCCTGGCTGGAGCGGGGGCCCAGCGGCCCTGGTGTCGTGGCAGGAGCAGGGGGCGGGCTGTCTCAGCCACTTGCTGGGCTCTGAGAGCCAGGATGGTGATTTTAGAGAGAAGACAGGTTTCCAGGGGCCTGGGCTTGAACTGCAGTGCAGCTAGGGACGGGAGTTGAGGACGCTGGGGCCCCCCTCACCTGGAGAGTGTCCTTTCTCCGCAAGCAGACCTATTTATAGCTTGGAAATAAAGGGTTTCCTGTCCACTGGCCACCTTGTGTTGCCTGGAGGTGTGGGGGCGGGGGCCTGGCTTCTCCTCCGCCTCCTTCAGCAGACTCGCCCTTACTCCAGGCCGCCTGGGTCTCTCTTCTCCGGTCAGAGCCCCAGGGCCCTCTGTTGGGGCCCTGCTGCATCTGCAGGCAGCAAAGAACAGGTACTGAGTTTCATATTCTGGAGACTCCAGTGTTTTCAAAGCCTGATTTAAATATTGACTCGTCATTCACTGTGTGACCTTAAGCAAATTACCTAACCTCTCTGAACCGCAGTCTTTCCGGCTGTGGAATGGGGATGATGGTTTTCTCGGAGTTGTTCTGAGGACTGAGTCAATGTTGGTAGCAGATCAAACGTTATTTACACACATATTCTGAAAGATCGTTGACAACCATGGGGCTAAGACTAAGTAGGCAGGCGTGCTAAAATTCACGGCCAGTGCTGTGTGTCTGCAGACATGTATGGAAGGGTATGGGCCTCTGGGACCTGGGCTTTACGCCCACCTGCCTTGAACAGGTCCCGCCTGCCCACTAGTCTGCCGTCTTCTTTATAAGATAGAGAGGGAGGAGGTGAGATGCGGCCTCTCCTCTGCATGGCTGCCCTCCCTGGGAGCGGGCAGGCGGGTGGTCCTTCGGGCCCCAGTGCGCCCAGCACTCACAGCAGGTGGCGCCACCACACCAGACTTCAGCTCCCCGCCCATCGCCAGGCACGTCCAAACCCAGGCAGAGTCCTGGGAGGAGGACCCACCCCGGTGCCTCCAGGTAGACAGACTTGTTAGGAGTTGGTCTAATCAGATCAGAGCCACGACAGCCCCGCCCGTCAAGCCCAGGAGAACGTTAATATTTTAGAAACAGGTCGACAGACTTTCTCCGTGAAGGACCAGATAGTAAATGTTCTCCGTTCAGGGGCCATATGGTCCCTGTCGCAGCTCCTCAAGTCTGCCTTTGTGGCAGGAAAGCAGCCACAGACAGATACAGAAGCAAGAGGGCGGGGCCACGTTCCAGGGAACGCTTCCTGCAAAACCAGGATTCCACCTGCATGCTGCAGTTTGCCAGCCCCTGCTGTAGAAGATGCCTTAAGAACGACGTAAGTCCCACACTCAGTCTTACGACTAGGGAAACTGAGGCCCAGGAGGGGGCAGTGCGTAGCCTGAGGCCCCCAGAGCTTCTGGGCCCAGGAGGAATTAGAATCGAGGTCTCCTGCCGCCAGCTCAGCTTCACAACGCAGACTTCTCCCGCAAATGGAGGTGTGACACCCAGGGCTCCCCTGAGGTGGTGTCTTATCTGGTTCCTGCACCTCCACCCCCCGCCCTCGGATTCTGTAGGCTCAGAAGGTAGGATTAAAGGAAGCTCATGCTCCACACCACTGACGTGGGGAAAGCCAGCAGACAGGAGGAGCCGGGGCCTCCGCCTTTGCCAGAGAACCTGCTTGGGATGCAGGATGCTTGGGCAGTGGGGAGAGGCTGCCAGAGCCCCGCTGGCTCAGGTGGATGAGAGCTTCCTGTCTGCTCCCCGCTCCATCTCCCTCTCCCCGCACGGGGAGCAAGTGCTATCTGGTGCAGTAATTACAGGGTGCAGAGTGGGGGGCCCCACTATCAGCACGTTGGGTTCAGTGGCAGCCCCTCACTTAGCGGCAGTTACCAGCCAAGCCTAGAGGAGGGCTCCCCTCTCCTGCTCCCCCTACCGGGCCCACCCAGTCGCCTGGCCTCCCAGGTCAGACAGCGTCCCCCTCAGCTCTGAGCCCTGGGAGCACCCATGCTGTCTGCAGCTATTGCATCTCAGGGCTGCAGTGTCGCCATGGTAACTCCATTGCGCACACAGGTTGAAGGAAGCTGAGGATGTGACTTGTCTCCAAGGCTGTGGCGTCTGTCCCCACGAAGCCTCCAGCTCCAGTGCTTCTGCTGAGGAGGGGGGCGGGGAGGAGGGCTGACCCACAGGTTCGAGTTTTAAGTGCTTACATGCCCACTGCCTCTCCAGGGGCCTACAGTGGGAGGAAGGTTAATGCCCCCAATATATGAGCCTGTCTGCAGTTGGGGGCGTGGTAAGGATGAGAACAAGCTGGAGTTTGCCTGTGGGAGAAAGCTGAGACATCAGGCTGGACCGGGAATACCCTCATCTTCCTTCTGGTGCCTTTTCTGCCAGGAGGGCTCAGGGGATCACATCTTACCTGTTAACACTCCATTCTGCTGAGAAAAACCCAGAAGTTCCAGTGGCTTGACAGTGAGTTCCACGGCACCAAGAGAATTGTCTTTGTGGAACTTGCCACAGCTTGCTGCATCATGGACTAAGACTGAGTGGGGTCCCCTATTTGAAATCCAGAGAGCTGAGAGTGGGGACCCCCAGATCATCTATTGGGGCCGACAGCATTCGGTGAGCACTGGGCACATGCCGGACACTGCTGGACCTGGGACAGAGACGTGTGTCCTTGGAGAGACGGCAGATGGGGCCATCATTTCTCCCGTCCAGGGAAGTGTTGAGGCCCAGTGGCTGAAGGAAACGGGGAGGAGAACACAGTGGACATTCACCAGGCACCTTCTAAGCCTCACATCCATCATTTAATCGCTAACAACCCCAATACAGTCAAAATTGATTGTACCTATTTTCATTGCTATGGAAACTGAGCTCATAGACATCGAGCATGATAGTGCCTAAGAAGGCAGCCTCAGGACTCCACCAGACCTGGGTTCACATCCCCCCTTGGCCCTGGGATCAGCTGTGTGTCTCGGGCATGCCGCTGATCCCCTCTGAGCCCATGTCCTTTTCTGTAAAGATGGAATAATAATATATATCTCTTAGGGAGAGATGATGTTTGTGATGATGAAGATGTTGTGAAGATGAACTCGTGTATGTAAAGCAGTTAACACATACGGGGGACACAGTAATAACCATTCAGCAAACGTCAGGATGCGACACATAACTTGCCTGGATGACAAAGCAAGTGAGTGGCAGAGCAAACATTGAGGTCCTGGCCTTTCGAGGTCACTGTCCCTGCTGCCGTGCCTGGGACAATGGAGACACTTGACAGATGTTTGTTTCATGAAGGAATTTCCAACAGTGGAAACTGAAGTGAGGTTTTCCCCAGGTTCCGAGGACTAGTCTAGCTTCTAGATAATCTGCCGAACAAGAAAAGTCTGTGCCCTCACCATCACCCATCCCTGCTGGCCTCCCAGCCATCCCCTTGAGCCTCCATCCTAACCACACAGCCTTGACATCAGCCGGGCCCCTTTGACCTTGTTTCATAGTAACCAATTAGCTTGACTTCTGTTCCCATGGTTATGCACAGTTTCGTTGGCAACTAGTACATTTCCCCAGAAACAGGCCCACAAGCCCTAGTCTGGCTGGCATCCTGCCGACAGGTTCATCTTTTTCTCCTGGATATCTGATGAGAACTCTCCTGCTGGGCCGACAGAGGGACAGAACAGAGAAGCAGGAGGAAATGCATTCAGATGCATTCAGTAACTGTTTCTGGAGCTAGTCCCCCCATGCCCTGCCCAGTGAGAGCTTCTGGAGATACACAAGGCGTTATAGATGCTGTTGCTGTCCTCAAGAAACTTCTGCAGGGCTTTTAAATCTAATGGGTTCCCTGGGAAGTATACCCAGAGGTAAAGATTGAAGTCCAAGATGTTATTTAGAGAGGGGGCTTGGAAAAACACCTGCGGAAGGGAGGCAACTGGAGGCAGGTTTCAGCGGAGGAAGAAGTCAAGCTTCAAGGCATGTGTGACAAAGGCCTCAGTCAACCCCGTGGGGAGCTTTGGAGCTGGGATGACCCTGCAGAGCTGTCCCAAGCCAGGATGAGAGAGGTTCAGGCCTTTGCGCTTCCACACTGGTCTGTTGCTGGAATTGAGTCTACCCTGGAAGGTGGCATAGCCTTGGATGAGGCAGTTTTCTTCCAATCAAGGCAGCCCTCCAAAGAGGGCTGACCATCCCTCCAGCCACACTCCCAGGGGCTCGTGGAGTAAGTCTTTCATTCCCAAAGGGCGACCTGCAGCCTATCACAGCATCCACCACACATCTGGCCCAAGGTCACTCACCTCCCTCGCCCCCAAGCACGGCCAGGAGCCCTCGCGGCGGGGCTCACACCTCGCAGTGCCCACCTTCCGCTTGTCTGCTCTGCAGATGACCAGGGATCCCTGAAGAGGAAAGCAACATCTGACATGTTCGTTCATTTTCTTGGGGGAGGGTTTCTTACCCCCCCACCCCCCGCAAAGATTAAGAACCACTAGTCCAAGGAAAGCCAGACTTATCCAAAACTTCAAAACATCATCAGAGATGCACACTATTAGTGCTCAGTGAATACGAGTGGATGGATGATGGATGGGTGGATGGATAAATGGGCGGATGGATAGATGCCATAACAAGATGGTGTGTGGAAGGTAGAGAAAAAGGAGCGACCAATTCTGCCTGGGGCAGGAGGAGAGCAAAGATCCCCAAGAGCAGCTGTCCCTTTTGAAGTGAGCCTTGAAGACTGGATAGGAGTTGCCAAGCAGACGAAAGGAGACAGGCTGGGGGGAGAGCAGACGCAGGCCCAGGTGTGAGCGAACGAGGGATGGTGCGTTTCACCACCATGGGAATTAGCTC